TCCGTCTATTAATGGAAGGGTGAGTATACTTGAGTATACCTGATGACTAAAACGTAGTTTTTAAAAGTACAAGACACATTTATCTTTGCTTCATATTGTGTCACTAGTCTATTCCCTACTTTTATTTTGTGTGTTCCTTTATTTCTCAAGTTCTACATCAGCTCGCCTATAGTGGAAACCTTGTCCTATGTAAACGATCCTCAGTTATTAATTGACTGGAAGTTGAATGCTACCACCGAATTCTGAGCCAATCTTTCTAGAACCACGTTCCTTCCAACCTGGCCTCATCCAACATCGCACACTAATGCATATCGGAAAACAGATAGGGTTTACTGTCTTCATAAAATCATAATGTCGATGTCTGTTGTTATCTATCTTGTGTTGACTAAACGTCCTGAACCACCTAACAGGACCACCGGAATTTGTTGGTACCATCAAAAATATGGTGCAAAGACACTGCGCTGCACACGACCGTGCACATTTTCAACAAGCTATCACGAAACTTAGAGAAACGATCATGCCAGACAGTGACTGGGGCGACTGTTTCTGGCTACACGAAAAGCCGCCTTCTCCACATCAGGGCTCGCATTTCTGGTTCAGACACGAGACGAAATAAGCGTCATCCCACTTGAGCTCTAAAGACGGCGACATACATGTAGCAGGGTGTCACTCCAAGCGACCAACGAAACTATCATCAAAACCTACGGAGAGCAGACTCTGACCTTAGACCCCGGACTTAGACGACGTTTCACGTGGATTTTCATCGTAGCGCAAGTCAAGCAACCGATTCTCGGGGCCGATTTCCTCAGCGCATACAACCTGTTAGTAGACATGAATAGAAAGAAACTAGTCGATGAGAACACCCGTCTACACATGGATGGTACAATTACTACTGACTGTGAAATTCACGGGGTTCGAATAATAAAATTAATGAACAAAGTTCTTACCGACATCTTGTCGAAATATGAATGTATCACACGAGTGTATTACCAAAAGGAATACACCTTACATCATACCCAACGCCATATAACTACAACAGCTTCACCAATATGCGCTAGGCCGAGGAGAATGCCACCACACAAGTTAACGATTGCGAAACGAGAATTTGAACATATGATGCAACTAGGCATCATTCGGCAGTCTAGTAGCCCATGGGCTTCGCCTCTACATGTGGTTCCGAAAAAAAGATTAAGACTGCCGCCCATGCGATTGCCGTCGTCTAAATAATCAAACGACTTTAGATAGATATCCAATCCCTCATCACGATTTTTCACTGAATCTACATGGAAAACAGATTTTCTCGAAACTCGACCTTGTCAGAGCATATCACCAAATCCCGATGGCTATCGAAGATATTGAAAAACCAGTCATAATCACACCTTTTGGCTTGTTTGAATTCCTAGGAATGCCTTTTGGACTAAAAGAACGCTGCTCAGACATTACAACGATTCATGGACGAAGTTACAAGGGGATTAGTTTTCGTCTTCGTTTATATTGATGATGTTTTAATAGCCAGCTCATCCATTGAAGAACATGTACAACATTTACAGATCCTCTTTGACCGCTTCAGAAAACATGGCGTCGTGATTAATCCTTCTAAGTGCATATTCGGCGTTCCAGCTCTAGAGTTTCTGGGACATCACATCGACTCTCAGGGAATCAAACCACAAGAAAAAGTGTAAGCTATCATCAACTACCCTGAACCAAATTCAATAAATCATTACGTCGATTCCTCGGGATGTGCAACTTTTATCGACGCTTCCTACCGAAATTTGCAGATACGTTACAACCCTTAACGCATTTGCCGAAGCTGGATAAAAAGGAAGTGAAGCCAAAGAAGGACGACATCTTCATGTTGCCTCCTGACGCCAAAACGGCATTTGAGGAAGCAAAATCTATGATATCCAACGCTACTATGCTACAGCACCTAAATACTGACCCCACGACTCACCTAATTCTATGCAATGACGCATCTTAAAAAACTGCAGGGGCAGTATTACAACAACAAGTCAACGACGTCATTACATCTATAGCATTTTTTTCCAAACAACTGTCGCTTGCACAGGAACGTTAAAGCACCTTCAAACGGTAATTACTAACTATATACTTGGCGGTAAAGCACTTCAACTTCCTGTTATGAGGACGCGACTTCACTATAATAACTGATCATAAACCCTTAAGCTACTTTCTTAACACGTACGACAGAAATTCCCCACGCGAAGCAAGACAACTAAATTATATTTCACAATTCACTAAAGACAACCAGTTCATCAAAGGACATTCCAACATAGTCGCAGATGCCTTATCTAGAAAGGATATCAACATGCTGGTGCAGAAACACGACATTAGTCTTGAAACCATAGCTAAATTACAAGTAGACAGTGCAGAACTAAAAACCTGCAAAGAGAGGTCTAGCTTGACCCACAAATCTGTACCTATTCCTTTCTTCGGTTAACCTATTATCTGCAATATTTCAACCGGCAACAACCATCCTTTCATTCTCGAAACATGTCGACGACGTATATTCCAAATACTGCACGAACTTTCACACTCTGGCACCCGGGCCACAACCAAACTCATCACTAAACGCTTTGTCTGGGCCAAAATTAACTCGTATATAAAAAGATAGACATGAAGGTTCATACAGTGTCAAGGCCGCAAGGTTCAAAGACACATGGTCATCCCTATTGGAAAATTTCCTTTACCTGATAGACGTTTCCAGCATGTAAATTTAGATATAGTTGGTCCTCTTCCACCATCAAATTCCTTTACACATATCCTTACCGCTGTAGACAGATTTACCTGATGGGCGATAGCACGCCCCATCAAAGACTGCAAACACGGGAAAACCAAGCTGGCTTCAGACCTGGTCGTGGCTGCATCGACCACATATTCACCATTCGTCAGGTTCTAGAACACAATCATACTTATCGGCGTCCGACGATGGTGGTCTTTCTTGACTTAAAAGCAGCATTTGACTCGGTAGACCGCGAGTTCTGTGGCAGTGTCTGTCATTGAAAGGCGTACCTCAGAAGTACATAAACCTTGTGAAGGCTCTTTACTCGAACACTACTAGTCGAGTGAGAGCTTATGGCGAACTGTCATCTAGTTTTGCAACCTCAAGTGGTGTCCGTCAAGGATGTCCACTTTCCCCATTTTTGTTTAACTTCATCATAGACCTATTGATGGAAATAACTTTCTCGTCGACTGAGTTCTCGGGTATTGATCTCCATCCAGGAGGTCCACTTATCGACTTAGAATACGCAGATGACATAGTCCTGTTTGGTGAAGACGCTGACAAAATGCAAAGTCTTCTTTTAGCACTGAGCAACAATGCCAGAATGTTTGGAATGCGCTTCTCTCCCTCGAAATGCAAGTTGTTGCTTCAGGACTGGTCTGCGTTAACACCTGAACTAAGGATAGGGAGTGAAGTAGTCGAACGCGTTGACAACTTCACTTATCTTGGAAGTCTGATCAGCCCTAATGGGTTGGTATCGGACGAAATCTCAGCACGGATTCGAAAAGCTCGTTCGGCTTTTGCCAACTTACGTCACCTGTGGCGAAGGCGAGATATCCGTCTATCAATAAAAGGACGAGTATACTGCGCGGCAGTCCGTTCTGTTTTACTTTACGGTAGCGAAACATGGCCATTAAGAGTAGAAGACACTCGTAAGCTACTAGTATTTGACCACAGATGCCTTAGAAATTTTGCTGGCGTCTGCTGGGATAATCGGGTAAGTAATAGTGAGGTTAGACGCAGGGTATTAGGAAAGGATGGTTAATCAGTTGATGAGGTTATGAATCTTCATCGACTGAGATGGTTGGGCCACGTGTTGTGTATACCTGAACACCGATTACCACGACGTGCAATGCTATCCGGTATTGGAAATGGTTGGAAGAAAGTTAGGGGCGGCCAAACCAAAACGTGGCATCAGTGCTTGAAGTCACTAACTTCTAGTCTGAGCCATGTTGGTAGATGCAGACTACCTGGTTGGGGTCCGCGTGACTATCGTAACCAATGGTTGGAGACTCTTGGTGACATGGCTCAGAATCGATCACAATGGCGTCGGTGTATATACTCCCTGTCTTCCCTTAAACTATGAGATTAAAAGCGCTTCATATCTTTCTTTCTACTAACCAATTCTTTCTTCTTGTACTATATCTCTATATGCAATCTTTCTCTCATATATTACCACCTTTTACCTAACCACTGTTATGAATCCGGTGTTCATCTTGTTGTGCTGATGCGGTATGGCAACCTGGACCGATGCACATATGTGCCTCGTCCTACGTTGTAGCTGACTGACTGACTGACCATCAAAGACATATAAGCAGAAACTATCGCAGCAGTTTTTCTCGATCTCTGGATATCAAATTATGGAGTACCATCCGTTGTCACTACAGACTGTGTCCCTCAGTTTCAATCCATCCTATTCCAGGGATTTACCAAACTTCCCGCAGTGAACCACATAGAAACTACAGTCTAACATCTAGTAGCTAATGGTCTGGTCAAAAGATTTCACCGCCAATTGAAAAGCTCTCTGATGGCACAAGCTGATACATCGAAGTGGAGTGACGCACTACCACTTGTACTCCTTGGAATTCGTTCTCTATTACTTGTATTTATGATAACTGAACTCTAAATTATCTAATATTTACATTTATGAACTGCAGTTGCATTTACATTATATTCTACGTTTGGCTAGATTACTAGAACCATGAAAATCCTATTGGAATCATTAATTATCTACAATTGTGGATTCTGATACCAAATACAACTCAAACACGCCCAATTTTGCTGATTTAAGTAACGTCCCTAAATTTTTATTTGTGTTTATAACTTATAAATGATATATTATAACATTACCGTTTATAAGTAATAACTTTATTACTATTTTTGAATTGATCTATTATCGGTCTACCACAAGTTCTGGATTACGTGATGCTGGATCGTATATCATTCAGCGCTAAATAAAATTATGATTTTTTTAGCTTCACCATTTTTTTTCATGATTTTAACTGATGAAGCTCATACATATCTAATAACCAAACGAAAAACAGGAATTCTGACCCAACTTTGAGGCAATCTGGGAAACACTGGCTAAGAAAATGTGTTTGTTCAGGTAAATTATCAAGTAAAAGCGGTTTTTTTGTAGAGGATGGGGAAGCAATAAGATGCTTCACCTCAATGTCTCCTACGACGCTAGAAGTTACAAATTCACATCCTTACAAACAACCAATAAAGGTGAAATGACTATTAAGTATTTTGGATCAAATCCCTTCTCACGTGATTTTGTCTATTACATCTTAGAATACGCAATGATGATAAGGGTGTGAATGACAAACTACTGATCGCGGAAACGCTGGATGTTTTTAATAAATCATTTTTGTAGTGTACGCCTTCTTTCTCGCTATTGTCTTCTATGTTTGGACTGTTCACGACATTCGTTTTGTATTTTCCTAAATGTCGAACGACGACAATGGAACTAGTGAGTTAGTACGAAGACGTCGCTGTGATTGGGATTTCAATGTTTGTGTTAATTGTGTCAACTATTAATTACAATGAAAATAAATTTTAAATGATACGTCAATTATTATTCTCATTGATGTGAATTTGCAAAATCTTCATTTCGTTTGAGACATTTAAACAAAGTGTCTGACAATTTCCCTATCGTATGCAAGAAAGGTAACATTTAGTTGCAATTTCGCCTGAATAAACACCGAATTTTCTTAGCCAATGTCGCACACATTTCCTCAGATTTTACTTTTTTCCCTGTTTTGTTGTTTGCTTGAAATGGATTCGTAATTTATAAGTAGTGTTTTCCAAAGTGTTTATTACCAAAATTGTTTTAAATCAAGACTTACAATGTGATCTCAAAGAGCTGATGCCGGCGTCTAACTAGCGGAAAGTTGTTGAAATTGTTACTCCATTTTATAGTAATGCTAGCCCACATTATTTTATACTGCAAAAGTGCCCTTGATTAACGATATCGTAAACTGTAACAATATCGTTTTCGTTCATATTGGTCGAAAAGAATTTACGTGTTATTCCACACTGTAAATAAATGACACAAAATGTAGTCTTATGACTATTGTTGAATCCGAACTCGGGAATACTTCATTTCGTCGTCGTCCCCATCAAGGTGACTTTAGTTGTATATTCCGGTCTTAATATCTAGGATGAAATCGATGTTTCCGGCTGGTTATGCACTGACGTAGTTACAATTCCTGTCTAGAAAGTAAACAAATTGTAAACTAAACCATTTTACTTTTAGATTTATGTCAAGTATCTGCTTGGTGAAGGAATATTTATATCTAACTCTTCTAAATATTCTGCTGTTAGTAAAGAGAACTGTAAGCTAGCTAATCCCTCGTCAATCTTTTTACTGATGAGTTAATATAGGTGTTTTAAATGATAACATCTGTTTCATATTGGCTGACGATTGGGCAACGTTGGCTGAGAGTTTCATCATGTTCACATTTATCCTTGACAATCTATAAGATTGAGGACCGAACTAAACATGATCATCTCAAGTTGAACCATTACCAGGCGTCAATGCACTGGCTAATTGCAACGATTCTACTGTCGTTGAAATTATCTATACAACTTTGTAGAGATAGTAGACTTACTTAACATTTGGAGAAGTTAAAGTTTATAACAGCCCAATTTTCGGATATTCCAGCTGGATGTACCCAGCTTGTATTTCTGAGACATCCAAATTGACAAAACCATGCAGGCATTAGGCGTTTGCTTCACCATGTTGCTGCAAAAATTGAACATTAATAACTCGCTCACCGTCTGGGTTTGTCTTTGTGCAACGGAATGGTGTTTCATCATGAGTTACTTTATTCAACTACACTGGTCAATAACAACCAAGTCTGATACACAACCAAAATCGTTTATAGGGGAATAATCAATATATTTGTAACTGATCGAAATAGTGCAAAATGACACATTTGACAGTGGGTCAACTGTCGTCCCATTTTTCACTGTTCCTTAATGCGGTGTCTATTGAGCTATCCGGATACGTATATAATTTTTTATTAATGAGCTACTTGGTGGTCACAATAAGAATCTCTTTCATAACAGAGGCAGTTATAATTGCCAACATTTTAAGTGTATACTGAAGAAAATTTCTAAATAAGAAGTTAGTATACTAATGAAAAAATGTATAAAAATGCATATTCTACGTACTGAAACTTATGCTACCGGGGGAATATGACTTCATGGCTAAAAATGTTGTCAGCCGTGCACTCATGAAACCTCACTAATGGTTACCCAGATATGCTTATGGCTAACTACTGAGGACTTAAATATACCTATATCACTGGACGTTTTCAGATGTGTTATCATTGTTATGTGTGTGATATTTTGTCTTCATTACAGTGTTGATGTATTGTAAATTAAAATATAAAAAAAGGAGCTTGTTTGTTATTTAAGAGAATGTATTTTATTCTGTACGTTTAAAGTCTTTTTTTCATGCATGCACTTGTTTATTGTCTGTTATTTGGATTAACTCATATTGAAATAACATTGGGCCCAGACTCGAAGTCATAGTCTCCATGTTACCTTATTGTATAAAACTCGCAGACCAATGAATCGACACTGTTTCTCAAACTCATCGGTCATGGTCACAGTTTGAAAAAGTAATGACAAATGGGAAGTAGATTGAAATAACCAATTATGGCATAGATCGATAAGACGGAATAGACAGGTAACGCTGAAATGTTTATGACCCCAGCGATAAAGAACTAGTAAATTTACATATATATTGGGTTAATAGGATTCCTGTTAGGTTAAATTCTATTATTTTGAAAGCACTACTCCTCACCCCTGCACCTATGTACATTACTCGAGTCAATTAACAGATTTATTCGTTAGATAAACTCTCCCTTGTGTGTAGCCTTGATTCATTTCGTTTAACTTTTTGGGATTAAACAGTGACTTTTAATATATAATACATGGTTACTCTTTTCATTCAGTGAGTATTGTAGCTCCATACTATCGGTGTAATTGTAACTCTTTTTACGAACCAGTGTTTCACTGTGAATCCATATTTACTTTATGTTGAACAGCAGGGCTGTAAATTCCATACTTTTCTAGCACCCAAAGTTTCAAGTTGTTTAAAACGTTTAAATTTGTATGTAAGTTGTCAAATAGGTTGGTCTAAAATGACAGGGGAAACGTCTTTATCTCTAGTTGCCATCAAGTTTATTTGGTTAGAGTGACAAATTCAAACGTTTCACGCCGTTTTAAAACTTGCTAAAATTAAGATCTTATAGGTCGGTCGGCCACTATGCTGACTAGTGGACTGAGGTTGGTTAAGTGAGGTTTAAAGAGTACAAAATGTTATATATATTACTTCTGGTAAATTGGACAATACGGGATACTTACAGTATTCTTCTAGAGACTAGATCACAACTACAGCAGAGCTGCTGCTCACATATGTGCAAGATATGCGTAACTCGGAAGTACTAAATTTTGTCCCAAAGTCACCAACGTTAAGAAAAGGTCATTTCTTTTGCATGCATACGAAATCAACTAACTGGTTAATTAGCATATTCAGTCAGCCAGCATATTACTGAACAATTAAGAAATTACACTTTTATTTAGGCTATTTTTCGGGTTCTAAATCTGAACATTTTCGTCTCTTTGTAAAAAGCTTTAACCTATGATGCTCTCTGGTAGTTTAAAATACATCTAAACTAGGAGATAAATACAATCAAAGCTAGTATCAAGTCTGATAAACAAAAAGTTCATCATGTTATTAGTGTAGTAGTTTATTAATTAGTTACTATATTGACCGCGAAACCTCCCCAAAGTCTTTGTTGATTTCAATTCTAAGGTGTATCCATCTTTAAGTATCATTGAGAGAGCATATTTGTTCCAATTTCCAAGATTTTGATACCTGATTTTAATTAATACTGAGAAAGCCTGCCGTAGCATGGTGTTTTATCATCTTAAGCGAGAAATATATCTAATGTATATGGTAAAATGTTAATAAGCTTTTGATTGTAATCTACTCCTTAAATGAACCTTAGATTGAAAATGTGCTCTTTAATTAGATTTTCACTTGTCAAGGCCTTTCTATTTGTTAAGTTGTATTGTACTGAAGTAACTATCAGGCGTGAATGCTTTCTCAAGTACTTATTCGTAAACTTTTTGAATCGATTAGATATCCGTAAGGAAAAATCGTAAAGTACTTTTGTTAACTTCACTTTATTAAGGGTAATTTTTCTTCCAATTAGTTCTGAGTTGTATTATTTGACGACGGTTTATTCAACATTTTTAGAGAATGAGAATCGAAGACATAAAATTTATTCTTTGTTGGACCATGATTGTTCGTCAATATGTGATACAATGTAATGTTGCTTATATAACCTACTGTCCATGCATGGGTATGTTTTGTGTAATAGTCGCCTGTATTTTAATAGGTCGGCTTGGAAACCAGATAGAACAGTTCCTAGGTATGATTGCATTTGCAATTAAACTAAACCGTACTCTTGTTTTGCCTCCATGGAACATTATGTCATCTTTACAGGCTGTAAGTTTTTACAGTTATTTTAATATTCTTCAGAATTTTGTGCCTTTTGGGAACTTATTTAACATCACTACACTTCTATCAGTTCATCAGTTTGTTTCACTGGAAAGTTTTATGTTGAATGATGCTCCTGTCATCTGGCCAGCAACTAAACGTATAGGTACCTTTTTCGAGCTATTTTGCATTTAAAAGCGTTATGCTTTCGACCTAGATCGGGTCCTTTATTTAATGATTGTAATGCTAAAAACGGGAATCCTTTCAAAGAATTTTGGGATAAATTTAATGTCAGTTTCACAGGCTCTAGTTTCTATTTTCCTCTAAGTGCAGATGATCCTAAAGAGAAGTGGGATCAGTTGTAAGTTTTCTAATATATATCATAAATGTTTCTAAAATACAGATTTCCTTCAGAAACTTACCCAGTTCTTGCATTCATTGGACCGCCTTCGTCTTTCCCTGTTCGTCCTGAAAACCGTGTATTCCATCGTTATTTAGAATGGAGTAGTCATATTAATCTAGTCACCGAGAATTTTATAAATCGATGGTTAAATAAACCTGTAGTTGGAGTTCATTTACGTAATGGAGGGGATTTTGTGAGTCGTATTTTGATTTATAAGTTTTATTATTTACTCGAGGAATTGAGAGTAAAAATTATGCTTAATACCTGTATCCAACAGTAATAATCCTTTTTATCTTAGTGTATGCTTTTTTGAGTAATTCAATTATTTTCTCTGTATTAATTGCTAGGGTAGTCGTAAGATTGTCTGGTGAACAACCAGGTCATTTGTTTAGATTTTCATCTGTCTGTTGATGCTTGGGAAGAAGAATTATTAGTTTTTGAATAGCTAATATAAGTTAAAATACAATACACTTGTGTTCAGTACGGCCTACGATGTTACGGATTTAGGAACGAAAACGACTGAGCTTCTCTAACACGATCAGTTCTCTTCGGAAATGACAACAGTCAGTTATACTTAACACATCAAATCTCGACAGCTAAGACAGGAAAATGATGGAATTGCAAGTAACTTGATATTGTGGTAGGACAAGCAACTCGAACGAATTTGTCACTATACTAGCAGAATATGACCTTCGAGCATGTAGCAATTTAGCGAACTAAAAAACATGACAACGAATCAGAGGGTAAAGGTCATGCGGAAAATCGAATTGGTAGAAAGTATGCAAGAGGTTATCGTTCCCGAAGATGTTTTAACCTTTCTAATAAAATCTGACTATTCTTGCAACCGTCTTAGCAACTTGTTTGCAATTTCTTAGTTGCATTACACGTAGGTGTTTAGTATATATCTGTTTTAATATAAAAAAGGGAGATAATGGCTCACTAATGTAAAAAAGCCGATTCTTAATTTTATTGTTTTTGTTAATATCTCATTTCTGAGAAGGCTAAACAAGCAAGTAAATGCGTACTTTTTCTATGTGTATACTTTAGTCAAATGCTTGCTCACATTTAAAAAGTGGTTTACGTATCTTGTTCTCAAGTGCTCAGTGCCATGGTGACTTTAATGAACTTCCTCCTTACAAAGTAACAGAAGATATGTGCATTCCCTCAAAAGAATTAGTTCTTCAAACAATTTCGTACGGTGTTCGTTTAATTAAAGCAAAAACTATATATGTATCTACTGATAATGATCCTATGTTGTCATTAATTCGCCGTCACTTTAGTGATACAACTGTAAGTGAAGAGATTTCATTTATTTTAATCAACTTTTAAAAATATTTGAAAATATTGTTTTTGAGTGTTGCAATTACTCGTTGAATGTTTAATTTCCTTACATTTTTACTTCTATAAAATGTCAAGGTGTTCATATACAATAAGTTTTTATGGAGTTTTTTTATTTAGTCTGTAGTATTTGTAGTGACAAGTATTTTTGGTATGTCATCGATGGATAGTTTGTTTGATCAATTTTTGTCCTCACTGAGAACCTCATCTTTATCAAGATTCTTAACTAGTAGATGAGTATCTCCTAAAAAATAGTTATACTAATATTCTCTCGAAAGACGTCTAGTTACTTTTTCATATAAAATATGAAAAAAAGGTACAGCAAGACTCCATTCGAAATAAATTAGAAGCTATAGTGTCTAACATTTGTCGATGAAAATGATTGAAATTCCGTAGAGATAGTCCAAGAAAGCCAATGTAGAAATATGTAATTGATACTAAATAATCAGTCGTTATAAGTTATACTGATTGATGTACTAATTATTGTGTGTGTTTGTTATTTTAACCAAGTCGCTATTAGTAATGACGTATCGATTAGTATTTGCAGGCTCTTCCATTGTTTTTACCGTATCCCCAAGTAGAAGCGAAGCGCCGTCTCTTACTAGTCCTGAGAAACTTCTACTTTATAATAACTGGTTAGATTTATATGTCGTCTTCATAAATTAAGATTTGTTGTATTTTTCACTTGATATTGTTTTTACTTGAATCTTCCCATTGATGTTTTAGGACTGAAATTTATCAGTCTCTTATTGGCATATGTGCATACTGTGCGTATGCCTCGATAATTCCTTAATTTACAAGCATCATAAGCAAAGATGGATAGTGGCTAGCAGTCGAATCCAGGACGTGCGTTTCGTCCTGTTTGGGACTCGTCAGCTGGATGTACCTGCATCTCAGAGTTGATGTTCACTCTGGGACTCGAACTCAGTGCCGTTCGCTTCAAACGCCATCGCGTTATCCACTTAGCTACTAAGTCCTGATAGCCACTTGCTTGTGCAATGGGGTGAAGTTTAATTCACTTGATATTGTTTTTACGTGAACCTTCCCATTGATGTTATGAATTCCCAAACGAAGCAGTAGAACAGTGATGCATACATCCAGAACACAGACAACAGCGTGAAGACGCTATGATCATGTATAGAAGAAACACCATTAGTTGCTTTTCCGGCACTCCATTCACACAGTAAACATTTCAAATTACCGACTGACCATAGGTGTCTATTAGCAGTCTTTGGTTTCAAATTAAGAATATCTGCACATTCTGTAAATCGACTGAAACAGTAAACGATAACGTTATTTGGATTTGATCTCGACATTTGTACTAACAGATAGAAGGTTTTGGTCAGGGAGTCTGTCTAGAGGTGCAGACTTTGGACTTTGTAGAATGAACCCTAAATTTCTGTATATCGCTAATGACCTGTCATATGGGCACAATGTACTTCAGTAATTTACTGGACTTAAACTATCGAAATCCAATGTTTACACGATTTATGTAAAAAACCCACAAATACCTTGGAGTGTTTTAGAAGTAAAGACATGATAACTAGTAATCCGAAGTTCGGTTTTACAGTTGTCTATGCATGTTTTCGATTCGTTTTTACTACAATATAACGGCTTACTCATGGACCTGGATTATTTGTTTTAAATTCTCCGAACAGTTTGAAGGGAATTGAATCATAGTTGCAGCACTTGTAGTCTTGAGTTCCTTAAAGTTTATTCTAACTAAAAATCAAATTTGGTAAATGAAGTCAACTTATTGGTAATTGAGAATTCCTTTACATTCCCATGCATGTACCTCCTACTGGTTATCAATCGTTTCTCGGTTTATATCTGAAAAACGTTTTTGTTTAGTATTTCGTTGTGTTTTCAGTGTTTCTGGACAATCAGTACTTGATTATAAATATGACTCCATTTCTTAAAATAATTATTAGGTAAAACGTGTTGTGTGGGAACCTAATAGAAAACCTGAAGAAGATTTGGCATTGTTAGGTAGAATCGATTTAGCTATCCTCAATTGTGTGTCAACTTACTCTGCTGCGGTGAAACGTGAAAGAGATGCAAAGAATTTACCCAGTATGTTTTTCGGATTAACTATTGAAAATCAAAGAGGATTGGAAGTATTGTGCAATTCCACAAATAAAGCTGTCAACTACTGGTGGTCGAAACTGTACCAAAAATAAGTTCTTAGTGTATCATAAATATGTTAGTGTTTTCTCCATTTCTTAGACTGTATTATTCGCTTGTTAACTTTTTTATCATTATAAAACTTGCATTTGTTATAGTATTCGGTGTAATTTCTAGGATGCCTCGTTAATACGTGACAAGGTAAGATTCATAGCTTTTCACATATGAGAATAAATAAAACATACATTTATGTTTTTGGCATAAAATTATTACAATATTTCGACCGATTGTTGTCAAGAAATACATAGAGCATATAGATCATCAATGTAGGCGATCTGTGTTGATGGTCTCGGTCTACTTATGTTGATTGACCTGGCTTACATCGAGATCACATCCCGCGGTTAATACTGGACGTGAATTATCATTTCAAGAAACCTTGCTGAGGCTTCAGACCTATTTATTGGATTGCTCAGATCCAAAACGTAGTATGGATGGTACCAATTATTCCATCTCACGATTCCGTTACCAGCTACTTACCAGTTAGTTGACTCATGGATACAATTTGTGTCAATAATTAGTTTGAATTCTACCTGCTAATTTATATATTTTATTCTCTTCGCAAATAGCCGAGTTTTGTCAACCAATGTTTCTGGTGTTTATTCTCACGCTCGTTTTCTTCTTTCTATCTCTTTTAGCACCACGATTGTAAAGCTCAAATGTGGAGGTTGGGGAATTGTGGGTTCATCAACGTTGCAGTTTGTACGAGGTGCTATTTCTAAACAGAATATAACAGTAGTAGACTCATAGTACAGTACTAAAACAAACCCACTTGTTAATTTATTGGTATATCTGCATAAATGTTCTACCACATATTTTGACGGACTGTATTTATTTAGTAACCGAAACTGAGTAGTATATTATCTGTAAATCTATGTTGCAATTTGTTGTTCATATGTGTAAACATGGTGTGTGGCTGCTATGTTAGGATTATATACATTATAAACTCTGGTTACGTCAGTTTTGTGCTCGAAAAATAGGCTAACCAAACTGACATACTTGTAAATAAGTGTATGGAATTTTCAAACCGTGAGGAAATGACAAAACGTTTTTACAGAAGCCGTGAGTGTTTCTTCATACAAAACCTTTTGTTAACACTAAAGGCCAAATTTGTTTAAGTTTTTCAAATGATTTTCAATCCATTCCTTTCCATTTGTTGTGGTAAATAAGTCCTCGAAATAATTATTTCTGTAAGTTTAACATTGGTGGTGACCTCACTAGTTTTACTAAGCGCACCTTATCTTAAGGTTCTCGGTTACGCATTCTTATAGAATCATGAGTGAGTGTGTTGTGCTACTCATCAATCACAACTATTAGACAACTTAGACCAAACTCTTATCGAAATATCTCAACTTTCCAAATATAATTTCGGATTCATTCATTTCTGACTTGACTAGGTTGGTACCCTTCGATCATAAAAGTATTATGGGTTGTGCGTTGTTAAATCCTGAATATCTGTTACATTTTTAGCAATGATATCGGCGTGATCTGGTATGCCGAAAAACGGACTCTTGTGGTGACGTGAGATATATTTTCATTGGGCATATTATTATACTGTTTGTGCGTACTAAGAATTCTTCGTCCGTTTATATAGCTCACCTCCAAAATGACGTTAAAGACACCCAAAATATTTAAGAATAAAACATAGCTGGTATTTTTCAACCTATGTTACTCTGAACTGATGATATCGAAGCCTAGTTCTGCAACACCGAATGCGGTGTCACAGACTCGTGTGCATGATTCTTCGAAGAAGTGAAGAAACTCGCACGATTTTAACTGGTACGTCTACTAGTGATATTTTCCGACCTCACGACATCTCAACAAAGGCTATCTCTGACGGGGAGACCCATCCGTGACTGCATTGTTTGCCACCACATTCTTGAAGCAGACTGTAAGATGTAGTCCAGTTACCGATACCCGAGAATAGTGCTTGTGTCAATATCGGTCATTAGGAAGGTGGGGAGCTAAGTGATCGACAAATAGAGTGTATTCTTGACCTATCGACTGTTGACTGTCGTACGCCAAAATACATAGTCAGCATTGCGCCTCATTTTAAGTATACAATGATGCAAGTGGGAGGGTGCTAGTCCACTGTGAGACGCTTGCAATTGAGAATGAAGCCTTAGGCTGTCGGTGAGAGCGTCCTACCAACCCGTCCGCTTGTCGGTGATAGGTGATCATGCGGTTCTTAATGGTGTAGTTAAATAAGAGCAAAGTCCAAGTGCGAAATGGCGTCCACGGTTTGTAGTGAGAGTCGAAAAGTGATTGGAGTTTGCTACTCGTCTTTCGACGAAGGCGTATGTCACCGTTTCAGCCGTAATACCCTTGGTGGCTCCTGGTCGTCGAGTGAAAGGTCTACGTAAGTTAGTAGATAAGATTATACATTTGAGTCTGGTAAAGGACCTACTGAATTCAACATGGTTGAAACGAGGGTCGGAATATTCGTTGTGTCTTATCACCTTAGGTTTCTGGCTGCCCACACGGGATCGTGTGCATTCCCTCAAATCTCTATTCATCCCAAGCCAGCAAAGTCATTCTGCTATGAGTTTGATGACTTCATGATCATCTGGATAAGCAAGCTCGTAAAACGTATTCAAGACGTTGTGCCTATAATATTTCGGCACTACTGGATGATCCGTACTTGCAGATGTGTTACATAGCAGTGTTTTATTACCTGTTCGGTTCGTAGTTTCAGGGTTGTTAAAGATAACTCGTGCTGAAGATTAGTGCCTTCTTTTTGAAGCTGGAAGAGCTAGAAAATGTCGACCTTTTGGTAATTGTCTGAGGAAGTTATATGAGGCAAGGAGTCTGCTACTTCATTTTTTGCCCCAGCAATGCTTTGTATATCTGAATTCAACGGCAAAATGTCGTTTAGTTGTTGATATTCTCTAGGGGAGTGCTTGATTGAAGACGAGCTTAGACAAAAGCTGGGAGGTTCGTGATCGCTGAAGAGTGGATTCTTGGCCTTCAACGTGTTTTATCCTAGTGAAGATTAAATTACGAGTATCGTCTGAGGCTTAATAATGGACTAATATTATTTAAATATTCTTATGGTATAAATATTCAGTAACTGGTTATGCATATCTATGTTCCCCTTGTTATAAGCTTTATTTTGACCTATATATTATTATTATACGATTTACTGTTCTTAGGCTTCGTTCAGTTTGTTGACTACTGCCTCCCACGTTCACAGCTACTTTTGGCTATATGTTGTACGAAAGTTATTTCCTATTTTGTGCTGCGTTGTGGTCTCTCTGTTTGATATATAAACCGAGTATGTCTGAAATAAATATTTCGCATAATGGAGGCTTTTGTTGGCATTTTGGACTCAACTGGACGGGCTAGGCGAGCAACTGACCAATAAAACGCTAGGCTGATCAGACCGTTCGAACGTCATTGGTTTAGTACAGTATAAAAGCGAATAAGTCGTATTTTGATTCACAAAAAGATTACGTGATAACTGGCGGACCATTAAGTCACAACACAACGGAATGTTGTAAGTGCCGTACGGCACAATACATGGCTAGAGCTTACATAACGAAAGTTTTTAATTTCGATTCAGTGTCTTGAAACCATCACGAGAATGATGCCAGAGGTTGTCAAGTGTCGTTTACCTATTGATTAAGGCTCCTCTGATTCGAATGTGTCTTTTGTGATACTAATGGGTACTTCCATGTTTCGGTGTGCGAGCGATTTTCCTCTGTCGATCAGTTCTTTAACATTAAAACATATGTTTCTCGCGTCGTCACCCAAATTGGTGAGTTTGGCATTTTCACGATGTTGCTTGGTTAAAGGTCACATCAACGACGAGCAATGCGTCATGGGTCGTTGGTAAAAACTTATCAAGTTGTTTATAGCACGTTATCGCTTGATTGTGTTCGGTTCTAGGTTAATTAGAATGTACACCACTTTATTTTCAGATCACCGATGAATTTGAGATCAGTGGTGGGCTGGAATAAATCTAAAAAGTCGTTTCCAATCCGACATTTTTGAATTTTCAGAGGAATGTCATGTTTTTGCAGATAGTTTTCCACCGACTTGAGTCGAAGGTCGGGTTTAACGTCACGATAGTTCTAAACTAACGAATGATATAAAAACAGCAACAATGAAAATCCGGTAAATGGGTTTGAGAAAACTCGCGTTACAACAAGTCTAAATTCACCGTATGTGGTGGTCAGTTTTCCGCTTTCCAACTGAAAATTAAGGATCGAATCTTAGAGATGATCAGTGTTACTCCTCAAAAGAACGCCCAACTGTGCGAGATGGAGAACTTCTGTCGTCGCACCAGCGGTGTACACCGGCTACGGTCGCCACTAACATGTGTCAGTGGAAAATATTTATGAAAGGTCAGTCTTGACAGAGGGTTTGAGGTTTAAACATTTGTGAAGTTCTGAAAAATGGTGGAGGTGAATAAACTTTAACATTTACCAAAACTATAGACGGGATAGTTTTTGTGAATCTAACGCGAACAAAAGTTGTAATGAATTTGCAAGTAAAAAGTAAAAACTATTCACTTTAAATGAAAAAAGATATGATTGGTTTTTGCCGCATAAAACACATGCCTGGAGAAATCGGTTAACATATTCAGAAAAAAGCACAGAAAATTGTTGTTATACCACTTACTGAGTAGTGGTCACTTTTTAATGAGCAGAAAATGGATGTTTAATATGCGAATAAAAGCTGAACGCTTGAGATATTCAGTCACATCAACTAGAGCTAAACCTTGAGATTTTCGCTGACGGTAATATCCTTTGATTTCTAGACTTTCCTTGACACCAAACATCTTAAATCCATCAACGTTTTCAAACCCAAAATGTGCATTTATTCTAATGAAATATGATTGTTTGAAATGTGTACGGAAATATGGAACGAAATAGTTTTCGAGACCGAGAAATGAGGGGCGAACCAGGCTTATCTCCATTAGATACAAATGTTGTCTCTTTATGATATGGGATGAAAAGTAGGCCTCATCACTGCCAACAAAATACTGAGTGATATAGGTCGAGAGGGAACTACATGAAAACCATAAGAGCAACCATCTCGATAGCTTCTAAAGAATTTATCACTATAGACGGGATTTAAGGTTCTACTCTGCTTATCGCATTGTGTTTGTGACTTTTGAACTATTCTCACAAGTGGATTGAACAAAGCTTTTGCTTAGATAGCATAAAGAGACAATTAATATGGTTAAACAGGGCTTTATGTACATGGAAATCTGTAAAAAGCAAGTTACTGCAAAGTCTTGTAGTGACCTACTTTTATCAACAGAACACGATTAGTTTAATAGAATCAATTATTATTATAACCAATCGTACCAGTGGTTGTTTTACTGTACTTGTTTGTTTAACTTTACAAAGGACATAATTTCTTCCATTGCTCGTGACCTTGAACGAATTCGGTTACGCTCAGTGACCGCACTTGTAACCTGGTACGATCTCGGTATTTTTTCGATACCACGAGATCGCCAACAAATACATCTCGAATACAGCCATCAACTGCCTTCTGATATTTGGCCTATGAAGGATCTTATCGGTTAACTGTCACGTATTCTTCCTGTAGTGATCATAGTCAATCACGACTCGACGTCACAAAACAGTCTAATCCTCTGTCTCATTCGACTTTTACTGCATGTGAATGACTTACAAGCTGTAGCAGAGTAATCTATTCCACTTTTGCAGATTATATCAAGATTCGGGGACTCACCTACAATATGTCAAATAGAATAACATTACCAATGAAATAAATTCACTGGTTGAGTGGATGCATGAGTGGTCATTAGAAGTCAATCTCGACATGAATTTAGTGATGCAAATACATATCGTTGACCATTCATATTACTACGCAATAAGTGAAATTCTATTACCTGAATTAACAGACCACAAAGATCTAGGAGTCATAAAACGCAAACACTTTAGACCTTGTAGTAACCGTAAGGCTACTACTACCGAAGGTTTCAGGGCCTTATGGGTTATTCGTAAGCCACTTGACTACGTGGACGAAGAATTGTTTAGGGTACTAAACACAACGTTGTGATTGAAGCAGAGAGCCAAAGTTTCAAGAAAGAGGGAGTATGCTAGAGTGGGCCAAGCGGTGAGGGATAAAAATGGTGAAATATTTCTCCGATCTAACTAAGGAAGACAGACTGAAATGCCCCAACCTGTTTCCGTTAAGTAATGGCAGGTTACGGAGCTATTTAGTGCTGGGTAAGCTCATACTAAAAGACTGTTTTGGTGTTGACATGTCTTGTCATTTCATTTTATCCATGGCTGACCATCGGAGAGCATATTCCAAAAAAATTAAAAAAGGGAGATGGAATTCCATTTCTCGCATCAAGTGGTGAATTACTGGAATGCTATACATAAGATTTAATATCGGCACTTTCGTTGAAATATTTGAAGCGGAACTTGATCTTTACATTGTTACGAATTAAAAGGACTAATATAGGTCGACCAATCTTATCCTTACTAACGAAGACGTCAAAATTTGTCGAACAAATTAATAAGTCTGATTTAAATCAATGGTAAATAGCACTAAAATTTAGAATCACATCACGATGGTCCTTATCGCTATGTTTTATACGAGCATGATGGCAGACATATTTTAAGAGTTTCTTGATGTATTGCTTATAACATTGCGCAGATGCAAACTATTTTTGAATTTTCTCAAGGTCGTGCTACGTGTAACGACCTTGAGGATGAGGTACGCTATCCTTGCATCAGCAAGTTTGATTGTTTCATCCATCGTCGTAACGAATACTTATTACCGCAAAAAGCAGTTTTACCCTACTGTCGTGTACTTAACTAATAATCAGCCATCTCTTTCTGTAAGCTATTTTGAAATGTCTTATACGTCCATTAGATTCTCCTCTTTCAATGTGTTGTTATACTCTTCTTGGTCGTAAAAGCACTCACATATGCTTTCTTCGGTCGGCTTCAAAGAGCAGAAGTAGATGTAAGTTTCACTAACGATTTATCACCCGTGTTTAGAATCTTGTTTCACAGTCATGGTATGCTTTCTTCGACATGTGCTTGGTTTTTGCCTTCTTCCAAAATGAATTGGGAGTCGAATTTCTGTTCTTGTTCGCTATACTTTTATTTGTCAGAGCCTTCCACTGGCTTATTGAAGAAAGGGTCGATTATGTAAAGTCTAGTAATAATTCTTATCGGTTTTTAGATGGAAAGATCGCCCGTCATTAGTGTTCTGTTTCATCTCCGAACAATGAGTAGGTTTATATTTTAACAGTTTATTTTCCAGTGCTTATTACTCTTCTAACTCTCGTGGACGTGTATTTCATCAAAACAGCTTACTGGAAGCCAGCTACACACGGAATATCCGTACATTTGGCTTTGGGGATAGAGGTTTGAATATTATAAACTTTGTTCATACCTTACATTTGTCTATAATTGTAAACTTTGGCTGAATAGGTGAGCAGGTTCTGTGTGTATTAAGTTTTACTGTCATACTGGGTATGCACCAATGGTCATCTGATATATCAAACGGATTAATTGTGCGAGATAATTGTTTTTTTTTGGTACTTGCTACGTCACCGTCTACTGTAACTTACGTTAGTTAACAGGACAGGTATAAGACGTAGGAAGCATTGTTGTCAGAATTCGGTCAAACGCATCTATGAATTTATGAATTGTGAGATGTTTTCTTTGTGGTATGATCTATAAAATCTGCAACTGCCAGTTGAGAGCTCAAAGTTGGCCGCTGTTACAGTTGCATTCGCCTGACATTATAGACTGTTAAACGCCTATAGTCTTGCACGCTCATTGATTCCAGAGTTTTAATTTTGTCAATTATCTAAACATTGTTAAGCAGTATGGTAACTACTGCTAGTTTTTTTTCGAACGGAAACAATATATCCCATCTAAAGTATCATCTTAGTGGTACGTCCTAACCGAATATTTCCCCCGAGTAGGTTTACAAGGGATTGTTAATGGTTGATTGCTTCTCAAAGAAGATTAAAATGAAGACCTGTTAGTTTTATAAAGTAGAAACTAACTAATCTCTTAAATGTTTATGTTAGAGTTTAGAGATGATGTTCCAGTACTCAAATCGTAGACCAGTTTTGAAGAAACAAGTGTACATTGATTATTTAAACCGTCAAACAGTTTGGAACTAATTAAATTGGCAAAATTTCCTAACTGTCAACAACCAGCTAACTTAAGGCACTATGTGATGTCAGTTTTGTATTGGTAAAAGACTATTATGGAATGCGTATCAACCTGGTCGTACCTGCATACTGTCATGCAAACTGTCGTTTTTTCCGAATACATTATTACCAGTATTTTTAAAAATGAGTAGTTCTAGGTGTTTTGAAGTTATTTTCTCGTAATTTATGACGTCATTTTTTATTCAAGGTTAAATAAGCTATTAAGATTTCCATACTGTCGACTACGTTTGGACCATGGTACAGTGTTGATATTGTCTGGAGCCCTCTAAAGGTTGATGATCACTGATTATGGATCTTGCATCATATAACTCATCGTTAAGCATAGTTTTGGAGATTCACTTCTCACTTTTTTTTCAAATTCCAAACATCTTGTTACTCTTACGATAGCTCCATATTCATTTAAACTATTCCATGTTTTTACAAACTGAATGACTTAAATTAATGCACGATTAAGTAAAGTTCTATCAATGAGTTAGATATTATTTCGACAACATGAATATTACACACGTAGTAGACGACCGAAATATTTTGTTACGAAGTTTTCTGTCTTCCATTCAACCATAATATCCAACGTAGTACCGCGTTTTCCATATTCTTATGTTCTACGTAAATTGATTGGACTGTTGTATTCACTCACTGTTTGCTGACGACATAGTACAGCTGTCATTTTAGGCAAGCAATAAGGATGTATTACTTAGAAAACCCATTCCCTATTATTATATTCTAAGTGCTTTTATGTACTTCGTGCAAGCGACTTGTTTAAATAGGTTTAATTTAACACTGGATTATTTGTTATTGAATATTTTCAGTATTTCATTTTAATATTAAGTCTTCTATCGACTACTGTACGTTATATTTTACATTCGATTGACTCTATGCGAGAACATTCCTGGAATAAGAAAGCTACATATCTCTTATATGTGGATATTCTCATTGGATTTATTCGTTTGGCTGTGTACGTTGAGTTTACGTTCATCATGTGGTCACTGCATCCGTTTCCTTTATTCATCGCGCGACCTATCTATCTTAGCATCAGATCACTAAAAAAGGCGATTCGAGTAAGTTTTTGACTGTAAAGCTTTCGTAGTATTCGTGATATTGGTTGTACATTCTCGCATGTATGACTAACACAATCGTATATGAATTGTCGTTATGTTCTGGTCAGTTTCACCTCGTAATTCAAAACATGTACATTCTGTTACTGAACACTGTATTATTCTTATATTTGTTTGCTTGCGTTAGACTTATCAGCGAAAAAGCCACTTACAATATATTAAGGCATAAATGTTAAAAAATAAGTTAAACTTTTAGATCCATACACTCAATCTGTTATTGCAAATTTAAAAACAATCGTACATAAATATTACAAAGATATCATTATAATTTGTTGTTCGGGGTCCTTTTGTCGCCTTTGAAATAATACTATCATTAGTTTTTTTAAATTTCTTACCGTTTTTCGAATACTATTATTTACCCAATATTAATAACGCAGTCTGATAAAAGTTGCAGTCCAGACACCCAAAACATGGAGAATTTATTTCACTTGGAAATAAATTATCGAATATTTAGTGTAGTAATAGAAATTATTGAATTCTCCAGACAAACATATCTCTATTATTAAGGCGACATGTAAAGTTAGTGATAAATAACCTGACCGTAGCTACTACCTTAACATGTTAGTCGGGCATGCCTATCGTGGACTTATCCAAGCTATATTGGCTGTAACACATGTTTCTTTAGGTCCTACCATGACAGGCAGGTCGGTTGGAAAGCGGTATGTCTAAAAGTAGAAACTTAGGGTCAGAGGGTGAAGTCGTACTGTTGACTGTAGAGGAGTGTGACACAAGTAAGGTGTTTTCATCAGACAACCAGCATCTGCAGCGATGCTGCCTTCTCATTACGGAAGGGGCTGTCACATCTTATTTTACCCCATGGATTTCCGTCTCTAGCAGTTAGGAATTTTTAGGTGGGGGTCTGACACCGAAATTTTTCCATAAAAAGGCTGTGCGCGACCAGCCACAAGCAGTTGTCCCTTGGGTTATGCGTCACGCTTTCAGGTCGCTAAGACCAGAACTAATTCAACTTTTTTCAGTCCCCTCAAGAAGAAATATTCTCCAGCGGTGTGGACAACCGCCTCCATACTTCTATCAGCATTCGAGATCATCTTGTTGATGATCGAATCCCTTCCTCACCTCTTGATTCTTCCAACCTCATTTATCTTTATCATCATGCGCCACCAATGCTAACTGTTTTGGTTCACAAAATGTTATCCCTGGTCTCCTATTATTTATTTATTTATTTGAACACATGAATATTAGTACAAGAGAGCGCCAATATATATGCGCCACACAAAACAATGAGAATTGGAAGAGAAATAGAAAAAAACGCTAAGGAGCGCAAAAAAAGTGAACAATAACGAAGAGATTGGTGTAAGGTAGTGTGGTGGTAATGAGGGAACGGAAAGGTGCAATCGGAAAAAATCTTTCAGGTAAGGGAGACACAACCACTTTTTATGAAGAAAGTAAAAGAAGGTTACAGCAGGAGCCATATCTGATAACGTCTCTAGCCACTGTGTTACACCATCTCTCGGACCCCAGCCAGGGTATCGTGAAGGACCGACACAAGCCAGCTCTTTGAAGCTTTCTTTCATACCGCGGTACCAAGTCATACACTGACCACCTCTCCGCTTTTCCCAACCAGTCCCAGAGTCGGCAAATAATGCACGACGTGGAATTCTCTGGGACGACATTCGGAGAACATGTCCAAGCCACAGAAGTCGGTGTTTCAAGATGGTGATACCAATTGAATTATCATCTCTGTGCCTGAACACACGATGCCGAACCTCTTCATTACTGACATGGTGTTGCCACTGAATGTCAGCAATCCTTCGGAGACAGCGATGATCAAACACAGAGAGTCATCTAACGTCCTCAACTCGGAGAGGCCAGGTTTCACAAGCATAGAGCAAAACTACTCTCACCGACGCGTTGTAGATCCGACCTTTTACAGCCAGACTAACATCACGAAGGCGCCAAAGGTGGCCCAGATTGGCATAAGCCGCTCTGGCTTTCACTGTACGTGCATTGATCTCATCACTCACGCCACCACCAGCACTTATGCAGCTACCCAGATACACGAACTTCTCGACAACTTCTATCTTGTCACCATCCAAGGTGAGTGGAGGATTAGAGTCCTGCCAGTCTTGTAGAAGTACTTTGCACTTCGAAGGTGCAAAGCACATACCATACCTACGGACACTGATTGGTGGATCAGTCGTCACTGACCATGGAGGGCAGGACGGTCTGACCGATGTTGCCGGAGCAGCAGGCCAGTTGAACTGCCCTTCGAAAAATTCTGTCCATCGTCCAAGACGTCGATGGATGTTAGTGATTGGCATCCCATCATCCTCGCAGATTGTTTCACTCATACCAGACTTCTTGCTGCCAGTGGCTCGGATGAGTTAGGAGAGATTCCGGTAGTTACGAGATGCAGCTGCTCCTTCCAGCTCATTAGCACGCTTCGACCACCAGGCTTCTCGGTCCTTACGCAAGCTTTGCCCAATTTCCTTACGTAACATCCTTTGTTTATGGTCAAACTCACGGTCACCCGGAGTAGACCGACGGGCTTCAATGAGTTGTAAGGAACCTGAAGAAACCCAGTGCTTATAAGCGGGACCTTTCGCGAACCTACAACTGACTGTACCCGCCATTTTTATGGCGTCATGCAATTGCAACCAATGCTCATCTATACTTTTCGGTGGAGTGGTAGCTAGCCTAGAAGCTAGCTCGGTTCGATACCTAGTTGCAACAGAAGTTGCAACCAACTTGCTGACATCAATCCTTTGTTGACGATCATTTCGTTGGCCACCGAAAAGTAAAGTAAGATTGGCACAGACCAAAGCATGGTCAGAGTCCAGATGGGTACTCCAAAAGGAGCGGCAGTCTTGTACATAACCACGCCAGCGGTCGCTGATCGCGATGTGATCAATCTGAGTCCAGGCTTGGGATGCAGAGGGAGGACGCCAGGTGGCACATCGGCGATGACTGTGCCGAAAGTTAGTACCAGACAGAAACAGGTTGTGGTCTGTGCACAGTTGCAGTAGACGGTCCCCGTTATCTGACCTGCGACCAACGAGTCCCCATCGGCCACCTAAACGACTCTCCTATGTGCATAGACGCCCAACCTGAGCATTCAAGTCTCCGGCTAGTACTACAATATCTGTCGAACGCACTTTCTGGAGAAGAACAGATAACTGGTGGTAAAACTCATCCTTGATTGCATCCGGGCTGCAATCTGTCGGGGCATAGGCGGAGATGACGAAGAGACATCGTTTCTCACGCCGATTTCTTCTCACTTTGATGGAACTTTCTAATCTAACAGCGCATAACCGATTGTTAATGGGGATCCAATCGACTAGTGCTGCCTCAGCTCTAGCGCTTAGTGCGACACCAACGCCAGCAAGACCAGACAAAGATGCCACAGGGTCCCCAGATAAGCGCACGTAAAACAAGCTTTTCGAAGCGACAGATGGAGAGCGAATTTGTAGTACTTCGCCAGAGTCTTGAATACGGGTCTCGGATAGACAACAAACATCAATATTAAGACTTTCCAAAGACATAGCCATCCCTATCTGTTGTCCGACCTGCACTAGTGTGCGAACGTTGAAGGCAGCCAGTTTGAATGGTGCACGTGGTTTCAGAAAAACTGCTTCAGTTCTCGTAATCGGTGGTAACGTACAATTTTCAACCGGACAGTGACTCGAGAACGTTTAGATACAGTCGAATTTCCACCAAAGACGAGCCGCTGTATAAGTATAAAAGAGGGTGAACAATGTGGAAAATAATAATAATAATAATAATAACAATGACAATAATGGTAATAATAATAATAGTATTAATAATGACAATAATAGTAATGATCATTATTTGAATTGATTGATTGTTTATCGGAGCGAGAAAATTAGTTGCCATAGTCATAAAGTTCATCGTTTGTGTGTGGGCTGTGTTACTGCCCGGGTGCCCAAACCGAAGCAGGTGGTTATCTTAGGGGGCCACACCCCGAGCCTCTGACCTAATGGTCTAACCCACAAGGCAGTGGAGCATCGTAAGGAGATGCAATCCCATGGTAGCCGGTGACCAACGATTGGTTCATACGCCATTTGTTCCCGCAGGATACTGGAGCCCATGTGCACCATTGGTTTGTGATCCGGTTAAAGCGCCGGACATTCTCTTTTCGTCCTCTCATTTTCGTAAACAACACCCGTGGTGCGAGAAGGCAGTGAGTAGGACTTCCCTGGCAGAGGCTGTATACGCGTGGCCGTGTGAGAGTATTTCGAGAGGGAGAGTGGACTCTCTCCACTCTCGGCCGTATCAGGGCATTCGGGGGTCTCCTAAAACCACTCTCTAAACTAAACGTTGGAGCCTTAAGTGTTCAAACCTTGTGTCAGATAGGGAAACAGTCTTCTTTATCTAGGACTCTAGTATCTCGCGCTATTGCTGCTTTCTACGTCTCCGAATCTTCTATAGAGGATACAAGTACAGTCATTCATTTGATCTCACTTTATCAGTGTAAACAGACAGCACGATTTACCCTCCGAGTATCTGAAAACCCCACTGCCATTTTTTCCGAGACCTCGCTGGTGCATATACAGCATTGAGTTCTAAAGCAGAACAGGATCTCCTAGACAGGATTCCAATAGATATTCGCTTGTGCACTGTCCAGCTAAGCGAGAAAGTAAGAACTCGAAAAGATAAGGATACACGCCTATGCTTGTTTGTTGTCTCTACCTACACTTCCACTGATTGCAGCTCTGATGAAGTTAAAGATAAATTTTATAGGAAGCTATCTAACTTCATTCAAAAAACAAACGCCCTAATGTAGTGATGGTAGCAAGTGATTTCAGTGCTCAATTAGGTAAACTAAACCGAATTGAAAGGTACTTAGGCGGATCTTAAGGTGTTGCGGCTCAGCGAACAGATAATGCCAACCGTCTGTTGCAACTATGCTCAGATAACCATCCATTTCTGGCAAACACAAACTTAAAAAACAGGTAGAGTCATCGTCTCATGTGGTAACCTCCATAGTTGTCTTATCAATGGACTGCAGTAGGTCCACATTGCCATTAGCTATCGTTGGAGGGGCTCGATAGATGACTGTCACTATTTTGGGATTCGGCCTGACAACTTCATTTTTATGTGCTAAAGGAGTTTGGCAACTTGAACCGATGTACATGCGTACAGGTTCTACGTCGTGACTGACTGGTGATAAATAACATTTGCAAATGTGAAACATGGGTAACTGTCTCATCAGCTAATATTTTCCGCACACGAAGATCAAATAATATACAAAAGTCAGACAAACCTAATGTGATGAGCATCTAAAAGTGATGCTTAATTAACTGAATCATTATGTGAAAAAATAATGACTGTCATCACCAAGTGTTCCTGAGTCATAATTTAATTGTGTACAAACGAAAACGAATTATCCCAGCTGGGAAACATTTTTTTTAGTTTGTTCTATACTCATATCAGTAAGCTCATGAGCACTGCTCACTCGATTTTCCGTAAACTAGTAAGATTATGTAGGTCAGTTTATAGTTATTCACAACGTAGAACCTGCCATGTATATGCATCGGTTCAAGTTGACAGCTCGTTGAATATTTTGCTTGTGTTTCTAAGGTAAATGTTAACTCAATAACCAAGATTTAGATCTGTTAATGAAATCTATACCTTCATCAAAGGTTATTAATATTTGTTCGTTAATCTTTTTTTCTTTCGGTGCTTAGTGATCAAGGAAACCATCTTTCTCCCAGTAGATCTAAGGTTTAAATTCCGCCCAATCCACCCCTCACTAAAAGTGTAGCTGCAAGCCGTGTTCATAAACCTGTTCTTGATAAATAACCGAAATGAGTTTTTTCCTGTACATCTGACTGTTACCTAAAGTAATGAAAGACTTCTCTGCCCTTAACCTTATATACGACACTGACAATGCATAATCTAAGTGAAAACTAATCTCAATGGGATTTACAAAAACAGATTTGATTGGTTCTCATGTGCTTCTGAGTTATAGAAGAATTTCAGTTTTTTGGAATATGCACTTGAATTGCTGCCGAGACCATGGGAACCAAACTAAAATTTCTTTCTTTAAAGTTTATTTGTTGCAAAATATTTTTCCCATTCAAAATATTTCTTACTAATTATCTCAGTGTTTTCTTGTCAGTCAGTCAGTCAGCTACAACGTAGGACCAGGCATATATGTACATCGGTCCAAGATACCAAACCTCGTTAGCAAAACAAGATGAACACCAAATTCACAGAAGTAGTTTGTTCAGTTGTGGTAATATATCCTTGAGCATTTAACAATCGTGGGTGTAAGCTTTTATTTACAGACTAGCTACTAATGAGATACGTCTCAATTTTCTTAACCCTTTTCTGTTATGACAATTATAACAGTAGTTCATCAAAGCTACTATGATCATAATAATTGTGGAGTTACAGGCTCATCCGTATCCCCCCCTATGAAAATTATACACCAAGAAATGATTTCATCTGACGTTTACCTAACAGTAAATGTGGTGCTCATTCGTTGAATAATACCGTTTGTGTAATTAGCTCACATTTAAGAGAAATAGGGTTTTACATTCATTTACATTATCAGCTATCATGAGTTTTATATGTGATTACTGTAAGCATAATATAACTTGGGATCCTTTGATTATTCCTTTATGTAAAGGATATGTTGATGTCACGTCGTGCGATTCGATACATGAACACAGTTTTCCGCGATGCCACTCCAGATGATTTGGCTTCCTCCTCAGATACTGTTTGCATAATCTGTCGTGAAGAAATGAATCTTCAGACAGATAATATACCATCGGTTGGGACTTCAGCTCTTAAGAGGTTACCTTGTTCTCACATTTTCCATTTTGGTTGTTTACGTTCGTGGTTTCAACGTCAACAGACTTGTCCAACCTGTCGAATGGATGTTATTCGTGAAGCTAGAGTGCAAGAAAGACAGCGACAGCAACCTCATCGTTCAGCAACTACCAATAATACACAACCAGACAACTCAACAACTTCTGGTCCATCTAATTCAACTGCGACACCAACTGTTGCAGCTAATAATCAAAACTTATCAGTGCCATGGATGGTAAGCTTCACCAGTTGACCTTCAGACTTATGGTGACAAGTCACCCATTCTTTGCGAACAATTCTAACCAAAAAGCATAATAATAATAATATCGGAACAATAAAGTGCTTAGGGATAATTCGCTTTACTTTAAGTGGACCAATAACTTAATAGGTATGGGATTTGATTTAGGGCCGTCGGGCCACAGGTTCAAACGTCACTGAACTTGGTCTGTGCAGACGTATAATTATTCCAATGTTTGCATGCAATGTAACTCAAAGTGGAGCACACAAGTTTTTATCTAGCTTCTCGGTCTCGGTCCCCCTAAATTTAGAACTTCTTAGTCTGCTTTAAGCCACGGAATTTTGTGCTAATCATTAACTATTTCTTTTCCTTATTTGCTGACAAATTAGTATTATACTGTTCACTAACGTGTGATACGAGACCATGGGAGCATGAAAGCTAGATTTGCTTGACACATGAACTAATAAAAACGAAGTTTATTGTTAGGTTGTCCTATTTACAAGTAAATTTGTTGCATAGTGATTAACATCTAGGGTCGGTTCACTTAGAGAGGATATTGTGAAATAATATTGTGGAATTTGTGAAAATAATTGTAGCTTTTAGTGAGGTAGGGCAGAATATATATAAGCCATTAAAAATGTAGATTCACATTTTATTCCACTAGGTGGGTTTATAGAAGAGAATCGAGGCTGGGGTGATTAATTTATGAGTACCTCCCTGTTTAATTTCGATAAATGTCTAAGCTTTTATTCCTTAATCAAGGATTAAAAAGATTTCTCCTTAATATCTTTTGACACCTGTTTTTCATTTACAGGATAGATGAAATTAGTATTGTTTGGGGAAGCTGGCACATAGTTATATTTACCTAGTTATACTTTCGTTTTCAACATATCATTGTTATATACGCGGAAATTCTTAGATGACTTGTGTTTAGTGCTGAAAACTTCGAATCCAACGACGTTTAGTGGAAGCACAAGGACTCCTGATATGGATTTATTTGACACCGGCGAATACACTGATTTTTATATAATTTATATACAGTCATTTTGATAATTTTAGCTGTTCAGTATTTAACATCAACTGGTAAATATCTTACTGTGTGAACACATTTACAATATCATGCAGTTAAGTATTTATAATCAATATATATAATTAATTGACCAAGTTATATAGTCACTTAGGATGTGATTACATGTCACAGGCGACCAGTTGCTCTCCAATCGATTAAGTAATTGTTCGTGTTATCACATATTGTTACTGTTGTTCAATATTTTGTTTGTTATTTAGCCTCCTGCAAATGCATTCCCGTTTTATCCACCATTTATTCCTCCTACTAATAATTCAACAACTACACAAGCTCAGACAGTCTTTCCGTCTGTGCCTCCTTTATACATACCACCGTTTATGGGGATGCCTATAATATACCCTGGTAAGTAAGGTGGATTGTCTATTACACTGTTTTAACGGGACATTCTGTTTATAACCACAAAGTCTGAATGTTGTATATCATTGTAATTCGATCTCGATCTCGCAAGCTTAGTTTTTACTTTATTTTTACATTCATACTATTTGATGTTAGAAAAGCTAAAGTGGACTATTATGTGTGTAATGAATATCATAATGCATTCTGCTTGTAATTTTGAACTATCCAATTTTCAAAGGATATTGTCAATGTATCTTGCACCATCGGGGTCCTGTGTTTATAATCAGTCATATTTAAAACAAAATATGAAAAAAGTGACTGATAGACTCAGCTCCATTTGGTTTTTGAAACAAATTAGATATCTCAACTTTCTGTAGAAGCATATTCTATCTTGGGTATCTGTCATCGACACTGTACATTCATGGACGATTAATTCGAAACAGTAAAGTATATATCCCCTATATTTGTATTTTTGACCTTTTAAGTAAGAAGGGTGTTATCTGATTGTCTGCCTGTTATGTGATTTTACGAACTTATTGACTGTTAGGATAGTAAAATCATGACTGTGATTGCTTGTTCTCTGACTTTAAAAAAACTTAATTTAGAAAGCCAAGAATGATCATTGATCGTCGTAAACGAAAGATATAGTTTAAATTAGTGCACGGGATGTTTTTATTTCGAATGTTACTTAGCCTATGAGTACGTTGTGTAACTTTATAGTATTCTGTAAACTAGGCTTTGCTCATTTTCCTACCTACCAATTCGCATTAATGTAACCATTTTGTCACACTCCGCTTAGGTAACTTGTTCTCTAGTGGAAATACTCCTATGCCAGAACCGCCCTCTGGACCACCTGAATCAACTGATGAAGCTCGTCTTCGTGCCAGTGCCGAAGCCCGTTTCACCGCTTTACGTCAAATAAATGTACTGTTGAATGCAGCTGTCCTGCAAATGAATGCTTACCTCAATGCGGCTAGCGCTCCTCCAAGTGAATTAGAACCTATGACTTCTATTAACACTGTCCTCAACACCGACAATGTGGGATCAAATAATGAAGGAAAGGGAGCCTCAAATAGTGATGTAAATTCTCAGTAAGCAGTTTTCTGATTCACCTTAATTATTTCCATTTGTATCATTATTATATCTCCCGATTACCAAAGCCATCTGACTTTTGGTCCCAACACGTTTTCATGTACTGAAGCAATTTTAAAAGCGAATCTATGTTTACGTTTCTGTATAGTCCAGTTGAACTAGTTTTTGAATAGACTTCTAAAATATTTTCATTCTGTTTTATTATAGGCTAAAACTGATACAGATATTGTTCACTGAAAATTAAGTCACTCTTTCTATTTATATGCTCTGTATGTAAAATTTAGTCTATTTATTATTAGGTGGTTTCGTTCCTAGTTGGTCCCATCGGTGTGTCTTCCTGAATTTGAATAACCAACAGTGCTGGATATTCAGTCCTCCTTAGTGGTTTGTTCAACCTAAAGCATTTCGCTTTGTTAATTGACGTGGGAACTGATGGTTTCATCTCACATTAGAAACTGTTTTGCCAGTTATTCAATACATCATGTTTTTTTTCGAAAATCCCTAGTGATATTCTGGGTATTTGTTGATTGACAGTATATTATTTACTCTTGTTACACAAGTTCTTAGAAGTTGTTCGTTTGCCGTGAAAAACTGTCAAAACCGTCAGTCATTATGTTGTGAGATTAAAGTATCCATATTGGGGTGGTTGGTCATGTAACCGCTTTTATATATAGTCTTCTCACTTCTAGCCGGTAACCCTAATACAAGAAATATTGTCGACAGGAACTTCGAAAGATTTAAATTTTTCATAAACCCAATGGATCCTGGGGACATGGTCGAGAAATCGTATCACGGACTACAATGAAGGACGAACGGAAAGGACTTAATCTCTTCCTCAGTCCTAGTTAATCCTCACAAAAATCCAACTCGTGGTGAGATTCGTTTGGTTTCCCAAAGGTCATTCAAGTAAACAGCTATAACGCTGTTATAATTTCTTTTATTGTGACCCAGCTACTCCTATTGTTTAACACTCGGACACGTTGCTCCACTCGAATAGTCCTCAAATCAGAACACGCTCGAACAGGAACGTAATCATATCTTAAATAAACAAGATTGAATGGAATTAAGAATCACGATAAGCAAAACGTTGGTATATTTACAATTTTACGCAAGAAGATTCTAGAGTCTTCAAGTATGAGCATCTGCTAATTGGCTGAGAAGTGGTGAATCAGCTTTGTCCAACACAATCCTTCATGTAACATGCTTTAGTCCAATCTCTATCCGGCTAATAGACATCTTTGTTTGTGGTGTAGAAATATTGGTAATTAAATTTTTCCAAACCAGTAAGGAAAGAGTGTATTTGATAGTAGCAAGAATGTATAGCATATAACGTGGATATTTTTGGCGAAAAGGTGATACTAATTCAAAATTGTGGAAATTAAACTACACGCTAGTAACTTTAAGGTTGTTTTGGGACCTGAATACTCGATAACCAAAGTTTGCAAAATGCTACCCATTCGTGGACTACACTAAATAACTGTTTTAAAATGTATCGTTGAGTATACTTGTTGATGTACTATTCTGGTGTTCTATTTATATGTTGAGTCATGACTGATTGCATGTTCAGTCCACGGACATGTAATGTAATGACTGTACCATGGAAATTATGTTCACTTCCCTTATGTGGATTGGGTGTTAATGCTAAGTTAGAGGGCGTATGTAGTTGTTTTGTGCTAGGAACAGCTGGGTAAATACTAGAATTCCCCTAAGTGGACTTCTCTGTTATGGTCATTTTTTCTTCAGTTTTGTCATCAATGATTTCCTCAGGGTAGTGCACGGTTTTGATGTAAACCTGTTATTCAAAAAAAGATTTTGACTTTGCTCATGATAATAATATCGCCTTACTCTCCAATGATAAGCAAATTACTCAAATCTAAATTGATGAATGGCATAGTAATTTGCATCTTCACAGTGTAACTACCTCTGTAGTGTTGGTTGGGTCCTTTTATTGAAGTATAGAATGGTGAAGAAATATGTATGTCTGGTGTTTGTGTGAGTTTTGGTGGTTATATAACATATATATTTTTCCAGTCTATGACAACCTTGACTTATTGCTTTGTTAGTATATATATGCACGATGGAGTGCACAACACTTCAATGCAAACAGTTTTCATGTTTTCTCATTCATGCATGCCATGTCCCGAAAGTCATACATTTCGTTTAATTAGAACATATTTTATGAAATTTGAACTTTTAATCACGATAGTTTTCTGGTCATGCAACCTAAGCGGTTACCTACCTTTTTTCTAAAGTTAGCTCACGTGAGTTGGTTCAGCTGTTTATTTACATATTCCGTGATGAATACATATTAGAGATAATAAACTGTCTAAAGTGATTAGTTTCAATTTGGAGCCTAATTTTTGTGAACTTTAATGTAAATATCTGATTATTGGATTTTGTTGTAAGAAATTACGTGATTTGTTAATACCGTTGGATATATTCAGTGATATATTCGTATTTTTTGGATACTTATTAAATATTACTTTATTTTAGTTATTTTTTGTTGAGTTCCATGGAAACCCAAGTATATGTGTGTTCTGTAGCATTCACCTTGAGATCATCCCAGTAAACTTATTTGGTTTGGTTTTGTGACGAATAATATTTATACATATTAGTTCCCATAATGTTTCCGATTTAATACCAGGTGACTCAGTGGTCATTTAAAATCATCAGTATGTCAGTTGCTTCTAATATCTGGACCATAAGTGTCTACCTATCATCTGACTAGTCAGTAGACAGATTATTTTCAAATTAGTTCTGTATTTCGACTCATGGTCCGAGGTTTTCTTATAGTTTAATTCTTACACTAAATACTATTTAGATTCAAAATCAAGCTGCCCACATCAGGCAAAGATTCTGGTTCAAAAAACGAAATCTCTTAGGTGTCAATAACAACTGTCAGTGTTAGTCCCTCATTGTAGCTGCCATTTAGCTGGTGATCTAATATTTCTGGTTCGCACTATTTTATAATAGCAAATCTACATGATCGCTATTTATGTGTTTTTCAACTAACATTTCATTCTATTTCAGGTTAGACTCCGATGGTAAGAGTCCCCTTGCATCAGGTAAGTAAACTTCTTATTCTAGTTTTAATTTTTTTTAATGGGACAGCCCTGGTATCTTGATATTTAAGCTATGGAAGAGGAATTTGTTCTCATTCCCTTCCATTCCTTAGATGCCTTCATGATGATTAAATATGTAGTTGGATTAAAACTATTTACTTGTTCTTCTTACATATGATATGTTTCAGTTCTAAAAAACTTTTCCGGAAAAATGTTTTACGAAGTTATCTTAGAGAACAAAAAGAAAGTAAACAGCTTTCACAATAAGTGACTGAAACTGTGAATGTAATACTAAGGCATAAACCACCAGGACTGATTAGTCTTTAGGATTGGATAACCTCTTCGTTACAACATAAAGAGAATAGTTACAAATTAATTTACCACTTAGTTAAAACTGAAAAATAATTTGTACGAAAAAGTCAGGTAGGTTTCAATCATAGTTAAGATTATGTAAAACGAGTTTTACACCTTCCTCTCGATTTCAGACTTGAAGAAATAGGAGGGAATTATTGTTCAATGTTTCTTTAAGAATAAGCCTCTAAAAGTGAATTTCGTAATCTCGAAATTGAGGCTCTATGTTTTTTAAAGAATAATGAAAAACTGTTCATTGGAAAGTTAATCTAAACAAATTCCGGTATGGTTTCTGGGAGATATTTCTGTTTCTTATAGGAATATAAAGGCATCGATTTGCTTCATTTGAACAATCATCAGGAAAAAACTATACAGTCACACAATCTACTACTTTATTTTTCAAAATGACTGTAAGGTATGGAATTTAAAAAGGAAATGACGAAAATGAGTACAAATATTTTATCACCGGTATTCTCCCATTAGAAGCTTGAATTTGAACTATTAGGGTGTTAAAGAGCTTGGGTCAACTAGAGTAGCTATGATGTGTTAGATTTTGGGGGTAATTTCTCTAATCTTGTGTTTTATGTTCATCGTGGTAGTTTTGTTATTGAAAATATTTCTTTATTTTAACTGCATAATTAAAAGTGGATCTCGAATTCATCTGGAAAATAACGGCTTTTAATGACAAAAAACATGAATTTTCGATTAGCTCTTCTGATACCCAAATCTGAGGTTTTTGCTAAACGATTTATCTATCTTTAAAGTATCAGTACTTGCATGGTTTGGTTCTATAAATTTCAGTCTGTATTTATTATATGGTCAAAGAGTGAACTCAGAAGTTCCAAGTTTCCACCATTATATTTAACAATTTAAGTTTCTGTCACGTTCATTGAAGGATGTTGTGGTACATCATAAGTCATTGGCGTTACATTAAAACATGATAAACCAACTGGACCAATATTTTATTTCACCTACATTTCATCCTTTTTTTCCTCTTTATTTGTATTTTTGTATCTAGAAGACTCGGAATTTACGGAAGTTCGTAAACGTAGACTAGAACACTTTGAATGCTCGTCTGGAGAAATCACATCAAAGTCTAACTCTGAACTTAATGATGTGTCCAATTGATCTTGTGACATTTATATACACCTAACTTTGGTATTACTAAGTTCATTCTGAGATTAGTTTGTGTAAGCTGAATTCTATGTGGCCATGTATTCTTTCAGAATTCTTAAATAAAACGAATGGCTTTCTATATATTTCAGTATTTAAATTATATTTGATGTAATATTGTTTCGTTATATTCTATCTTCAAGTAGTCTCAATAGTTCGCCTTTATTACTTGTTATGTTTTAAGGAATGTGAGATATTTCTCTTCATTATACTTAGTAATATGGTTTTGTTCAATGTACATATACTTTGTTATAAATTACAGGGATTAGTGTAATAATAGACAATAGTTTAATAGATCACTTAGACAAGGCAAAACTAATGGATTTGATGTAGTTTTGTCGTATGGTTCTGTAAGTCTTCGACATTTGATTCTGACCTCAGTTTTAATGGACACATCTACTATATCCTTATATGCAATCTTTCTTTTTTATATTACCACCATTGAATTAACCACTATGAATTCGGTGTTCATCTTGTTGTGCTAATGAGGTATGTTTACTTGAACCGATACATATATGTGCCTGGTCCTACGTTGTAGCTGACTGCCTGAGCTTAAATCAAACGCCTCCCGAGGTATCGATAACTTTCCAAATATGTCTCTCAACCTCTTCTCTTCTGACTTGGATGGGTTGGCATACTCTGTGTATAAAGGTGTTACGTGTGGGCGTTGTCAAACTCTGAATACTTGTGGGTTTTTTTTGCCAGCATTCCTCTTAAGAATCCTAAAATTTAAATATTGGTATTTTACTTGAAATCTATGAATTTGCTCTTCTCAAACGTAAGTAAAATTTTACTTTTATGGGGAACTTTCCCTTGCAGCTATTTGTGAGTCGACTAAAAATTTTTTTCATATTCCGGTCCTGTACTGATTTTCTTGTGACTTTTTAACTCATAGTTCGTATTACAGCGAACGTAAAATGTGATCCCATTAGTCATCAAATGATGTGGCTGAAGGCACAACTCAAGCTTTATTTTGATTGGTTTTACCTCTAATGTACCTCGCTTTATACTTTTGATCACAGTGTTTCTGACTGTATGCACTTGTGAAGTGTTGAGGCATTGTTTTGGTTTGTCACCAGCACGGATAGTGCTAAGTGTGAAATAGATATATTTACTTAGGTAACATGTAATTTACAAAGTATGTAAACTTGAGAACTACATGTCTTTGATCTGTTTTTTTTCGTTACCGGGAAAGTAATCAATTCTCATTGTTCCGTTTACTTTTTGGGACTACATTGATTTATGACATGCGATGACTGAAACATAAAATATAAACCTTATTTAATTTCATATGTTACGCGTAGGCTGACCCCGTTGTGCAACAATAGTGATCAAAGCCAAACATGAATTGAGTCAGAAAAAGTTTCTCAGACACTCGGTTCGAGGTGTAACATGGAGAAAGGCTTCGTATCCTACCTAGTTTCATCGAACGAGGCTCAACAAGAAAATGTAGTCTTAAGATATGTATTGAATCTCTTATTGGTGAACAATCGCGTGCACATAGAAACAACTAGTGTTGTACGTGAACATCTGATAAGGTCAAATAGATGTGTGGATAAAGACACCAGAAACCACATTAATCCATCTCAAAGCTAGGATAGGTGGTATGGGCGCGAAATATCATACAATGTCATAACCTTAAACCGAAAATAAGGGTGCCATTTAAAGTAGATGTATGCTAATGGCATAGCTTTTATTTTGAACAACCGTTGTTATATAGCATTAAGTTAAAGAAATGTATATGAAGTTAAGAAATGCTTCAATTTGGACGGAGCTGAGAGGTAGATCCGTTCCAGACAAAGGCCTTACTACTACGCCTACGTTTCTACTGAAGAGTACGGTTCTCGACCTAAGCATATGTTCGATTGCCTAGATAAATAGGTAGTACAGGGGTGAAATTCTCAAACCATTTGACAAGTGTTTCACATGCTGCTCACAGGTATATTGGATAAATGTACTCAGATTCAGTGTTTTGTTCTGATATGTCTTTAAAAATTTTATTGATTACTCAACAGACCATTTCCAGATATTTCGAAACGGCTGGACGGTTTGTTATTTGGTGATAATGGGAGAAATGAATATTATGCGACTGCTGAGATAATTTCATGGAAGAATTTTAACTTTATTCCATTTAGAAGAGCTGAGGATCTCAGGTGTGATAATATCTTCCCGTAGTAGATGTGGAGTGTGTTATTTTGTTGAAGATACTCTTCTAGCCTGTTAGTCGATGCACACGCCATTGCTGGTCACATGTTGATCTAGCCAGATTGTCTCCCTGACTTAAGTCTACTATTTGCATATTTATCAACTGATAGCTCATCCGCACCACAATATAGGACGTGCAACGTAATAAAGGTTCTTCTAGTATCAAACAGAATGGAATAACTTGTCCTTTCACTCTAATTTCCAATCAAAGTCGACGATATCTGATATTCAACGCAATTTTCCTGACAGACCTTATAGTACAAACATACAATACACCTGAAATAGCCCCTCACTGCTATATAAATCAGCAGGGACAGACACTCAGTCCCGACTTATGAAAATTACTTGGTGGTATTTATAACCGAACCCAAAACTATAAAATATAAACAGGTGTCTCTTTAGGTGATTTTTCGGCTACATAATTGGAACATCATGGGTTAGTAATGTTCTCTTTACTTTGTTCGATTAATAAACAATGACCAGACAGTTTGATCCGTGAGTCACACGTGTTTTATTACTTTGCTAGTGACTTACCGTGTGCTAAATGTAACGGAGATAGTTACAGCAAGCCTCTGACCTCTTTTTTCGGGAAAACGTGGGATTGGAACATCGGAAGTCCTCCCTACCATTATATGACTAAATTAAGAGTGCGAATTGTGGACGTTAGTTTTAGACATTTCATCACAGAAGAAAACTAAGGCATCTCCCAATATCCTACTATAGGGCTTTCAGTTTAAAATATGTTGAGGACAATAAAGCATATTGTTTCTGGTTCACTTCTAGGAACGTAAGTTAGTCCTACTCCCGAACATTTTGAAACCGCACTCAGAATTCTCTTGAAAATTCATTAGAGAAAATATTTTTGGTTTCTGATGTTTGAAGGAATACTGGTCATTTGGAATGGTGTGGCCAAACCGTAATATTGTTCTCGTCTGACGTGAAATCCGAATCCATAGTTACTCAAGCCTGGATTGCCCCTTTGTGGAGGCCAAGTAATCTTGCTCCTTTGGTTTCCACACCAAACGAATGAAATTCTATCATAAAAAATGGCTTGATTGGATAGGAAAGAAATGGACAGGAGGAATGCATACACCAACTTAGTGGTATGAACTAATTGATGATTGTATGTTTTTCTTGGTCTGAATTATATCCAACGAACATTTAAACGTTTACTGACCTGTCTTATAAAATAAATATGTTAGGTATAAGTGGACAAACCTTACTTCTGTTATTTCTCGTGGAGGCATGAGATGTCGATCAGGATTTTCACGCCAACTGTGTCCCAGACAAACCATTTTACTTGTCTTCATTTTTAACCCGTACTTTCATGTCTGCCTCCAATTCACGACGCTGTGTTCTTTGGTCTTCCTTTTTCTCTTCTACTTTCGAGACTCCAAAAGGGCTTTGGGATGCATGAATTTTATCTGCTGTAGTTGATTATTACTGATGTTCTCTGATTAGTTTTAATTTCAGTTTGAAAAGCACGAGGTGCTAGGTGTCCTGTGTTTGTCATGGCAATGGTGGTCTCCTAGTTGATCCAAATTATTTTTGAAAATGTTGACAAATAGAATCTTAAACACATATTGAGGTGATGAATACCACTCGATGATGATTCGACGAGATAGCCGATAGTTAGCTGACAAGTAATTTTTTCTGGGCTTGTGGACGTTTTCAGAGTGTCTGCTAATTCAGGCGAAAAATTATCTCCAACTCATTTAAAAAGGATGATAAACTCGCCTCTGTTTCTTCTACTTAACAGTGGAAATAGGTTTATTTTAGCAAGTATAGCATCATACAGAAGCCTTGCGATTCCGAAAATTAACTTAAATGCTGTTCTTTGAGGCTTTTCCTACATCATACTGCCTCTTTTAAGACTGGGTCTAGCCGCTTGTTTGCAGTACTTAAGTTTAGAGCGTAAGGATACGGTAAACTGTCATAAAGCTTTTAACATCGAAATGGATATCGGTCCTACGTATTGGCCATAGGGCTCTTAAAACTTGAACAGCTATTGCATGGCAGTGTGCAGTAGTCTTAAGGTCTTGACTAAGTATGAATATTCGGTCACTATATGTCTGGCAGCTCGATGTCATTCACCGTGTATGTATCTGCACCTTGGTGACTGACGTGAACAGAGAAACATGAAGCCTAGACATACAACTGAGGCTATTTTTCGGGACGTTATTTCATTTAATTCAAAGCTTGTGAAATACTAACATTCATTTTTTTCTTTGGTCTATTCTACAGAGCATAAGTTTTCGTTTGATGTATAATTCACTGCCATGTATCCTTATACACTAATCTAAAATCGGGAACCAGATCAGAATTGGGAATAAATGGAGTAGTGTTTCAGTCGACTTGTCTTCTCTCATTCGTGTGCTTGTCAGCAAAAAAGGAGATATGATAAATTTTGCCTCTACCCTAAGCAACCGGTCTCACATCGAACTCGAGCATACTGGCATCAAGGTTAAGCCAGTCAGCCTAACGCCTCAAGTTCTTAATCAATATTAGACAAGTTATCCTCTGCACAAAAGTGGGCAGACAGATCAAGGATGCAACGGTGACAAAAATGCATCATAATACGCTTGGAAACCTTTATAGACAACTGCCATTCAAACAATTTTTCCGGGTCATCACGAGGCCCTAAGCTATCACCTTCATAGTTTATCGCTCTCGTGTCTTGATATCATCAGCATTTATCAAAACCAACGGTGATATGGTACCAGGAGTACCATTTACATACTGGAGGAATAAAACATGTTCCAAAACTGCACGCCAATGCACTTATCTAACTAGACAACTCTGAGTCATCCGTGCACATTTATAAATTGCCTCCAATCTCAATGTGACTTAACTTGTATAACGCTCGGTTTTGAGGAATTTAGTCAAAAGCCTTGTTGAATTCATTTGACGCTACATCTATAGGTAACTTCTAATAATAAGGAGCATAACATCTTTCACGGGCTACTAAGTTAATGAGACATTAATAAATTGTTTCAAGGCCTTGCTGCTATTGAGAAAGAATGAATTTTCCTCGAGACACTAAAATAACATATCTTAACCATACTGATTAGGCTTATGGGTTGATAGTTCTCAGATTCGCATCTAGTAGTTATTTTGAAGATAAAACATTCTATAACATCATTTAATTCTTTTGGAGATCTATCCTGGGTTACAGATATAATAAAATATATACTTTGCGAATCCGCGATACAATTCGCTAGTTTTTTAATAACCTAGGATGCATTTCATTGAGTCTGTTGAGTTGCCTACATCTAACTCGTTTATCAGATTAAATATATCGAGTTCTTTGATGATCATAGTGTCCAGTGTGTGTACAAACTGAAAAAGAAGGCATCTGTACAGCATGTAAATTGCTAGAGTGATTTGAGAATACCGTGATCGTCTTCTACTAATGATGAAGAACTACTGTCTTCCTATAACGCTAGGATATTCCCTCTTCCCTTAGTGCTCTGGTTTATGTACGAGTATAAGCTACTAGAGTATTCCGCTGATTACCTGACAAAGTTTCCTTCACACAATTTTCTTGGCAAGCAAAAGGTTGAGGCACAAGTATTTCAAGCTTCTCGATAATGAGATTTCATCTCGTCAAAACAAACTAACCTCTACCTCTCCCACATTCTAGATATTTTACGGTGATTATTCAGTATCTCTTTATTGATTCATGGTGGAGAGTTGCTAGGAACCTATGAAGTATTCAAGGGATGTGCGTTGCAGTGGCTTTTATGTAAAAAATATCTGCATAAATCAGAAGCCGTTTCAATGAAGAACTCTGGTTCTATTTTCCAATCTTCTGAGGATGCTGAGTGCATAATATCTTGCATATTTGCTTTCTAGACGTTCGGTATGGCTTGAGCTGACACAACTATATGGAAGTCAAAGACTAAAACTGCCTGGTCACTTTTACTTAGGGATGGGATATGATGGAGGTTTGTGACGTCTTCCTCATAATTGGTTAATATGAGATCTAGTGAAAATGACTCGGAGTTCGGGTCATAAATATTCGCTTCCTACACATGATGCACCAGAGCATATGTGATAACTGCGTCAGCCAGTTTATGGTCGAAAGAATTTTCTGGCATTAAAGTCTCCTAAGACTATATATCGACCACCGACCAGGTGCTAAAATTTTCTAGCAAGATCTCAATCACAACACAGCAGAACAGACTGTAGACACACCTTCTACACTTAAAGAGTAATGGAATATTGGGAGTCGCTGAGGTCTGAGCTAGTGCAAGCGACTGTCCAAGAATCCTACAAGAGCAAACGTGACATATTCTTAAGGACTAAGGTTAGTATATTATTATGATTTACCAACTTTTTCACCTTATTTTTATCGTTAATATACTTAGGTTCCTACCCTTAGGCATCGTAGATACACTGCTACCAGATACGGAAGCCCTTTTAAGCGAAAGCTTCTTTTATTCCATGCAGAACCATCTGAATCATTTTAATTATATTGAATGTTGTACACAGAGCCTGTTTCAAAGTCTTCGGTCATCAGCTGACTTCTGACAGGGTGACTAAAATTCAGGGTGTAATAGTGGCATGTGGTGTTTATTAATAATCTTAATATATACCAGTTGTTGGAATTTATCAATTAGATCAACGTACTAGAAGTCAAAGTACTCCCAACATAGTCACGTTACTTAATTTTTGTATCTCAAATTTCACCATCTAAATTACTTCATCGTAAAATATGATTAGCTTGGGAGCGTATGAATATAATCCAGCGGATGTTCTAGGTAATGGGGCATTCGCAATTGTATATAAAGGGAGAGTTAAAAATGTAAGATGTATAAGTATTATTAGCATCCCCCCTAGAATCCAGAGGAACCTGTGGCAATAAAAATCATGTTGAAAGATCAAAATGTCCTTAAGTCGAAGACGCTTCTTAGCAAGGAAATATGTGTCTTAAAAGTGAGTTTATATGTGTCACCTCCTACATTAAATTAAGGACCTTAACCACGACAATATCGTCCGACTATATGATCACAGTGTATGTTTTGATATTTAATAATCTTATGCTTTCTTAGATCTCTAGCAGTGGAGTCTATTTGGTAATGGAGTACTGCAATGGTGGTGATCTTTCCGAATACTTACAGGGTAATCATATATCTCGTTTAATTTCTTAGCCAAGCGCACTTTGCCTGAGGATACAATCCGTCACTTCCTAATACAGATTGGCTCGGCTATGGACGCTATGAATAGGAAAGGATTTATGCACAGAGACTTGAAACCAGGTAATATCTTGTTGAGCCACTGTAGGGATTGTGGTCACCATGTCACTTCTCTTCCTGGTTATCTTCTGTCCTTCAAGTTAGGTAAGAACCTCGTTTGGTTATTTATTGTGTTCATCTCTTTTCCAAAGTTATTCATGTTCCCAATGAATTTATTGTGAATATTTTTTTCGGTATGCTATATGTTGTGTAAATCGACTTGTATGTTCTCTGTACTGATTAAGCAGCAACCTTAAACCCGTATATACATATCTTAGTCACATCTGTCGATGGAGTTCTAGGATTTTATTAACTAATTAAGTTTCTTTGCATAAATTTCTGCAACTAATTTTAAGACATCTGACTATCTAAGGTAACCACTTTTTACGCTATCAGAACATCAGTAGCCCCATACTCCCATTTTCCTCAATTGGTCTGTTCAAAGTGTATACTTGAATATCTTACATTGGTAATGTAGCTTAATTGGAAATGTGTAGGATGTTTAACCAGGACCAGTGATCGGCAATGGTTAATGGTAGGAGTTAGGAAAGTTTCTAACTTATAAATTACCAAGTTTGTTGTCATTTTCATTGTATATCTGTTCAATGGTCGATCAAACAGTCACTTCGGTTTTACACATATATTCACTCTTTTCCTCAATGAATTTCCTGCCCTTAGCTACTCATTCCAATAATAATGATTATTTTTCATTGTTATAATCAGAATCCATATCTATTTATTTTAATATATATATATATATATATATATATATATATATATATATATATATATATATATATATATATATATATATATATATATAACACTGATATTAAACTTTACATTAGTTCAATGTATCTAGCTGTAACATTTCGATATCATACAAATATAATTATTTATCCATAACAGTGATGTCAATCGATTCAAAACTTTTTTGTAAATGTTTCTTAACCTCTCTGTTTGTCAAATAAATAAAGAGTGCTCAAAGACATTATAATGTTCTTGCAGAATTCAGGGTAATATTCATTCCATACTTTTTTGAGTTTTCATCATTCATGTTTTAAGGCTTTTATTAGTAAGCTACGGGCTTTACCACTCAGTGTCATCGGTATACCTTTATATATAGATGGTTTTTACACAATTTTACAACTGTATAAACTCCATCATTTATTATTCATGATTTTTCCTTTTATTTCAGCTGATTTTGGCTTCGCTAGATTTTTACAAGATGGGATGATGGCAGTAACCATGTGTGGATCACCTATGTATATGGTCAGTTTCCTCTTGACTGTTGACTAGATATCGTTTGCAAATAGCACTCTCTGGGCATTAATATGTATATACCGTTTCTTTTTATGCAATTAGGTATTTTTTTCATTTGTTTACGGTTGTGTATGAAACTTTGGACTATCATGCGCTATGTTATTTATTAGTCTACTTATTATCCTTGCCTGCTCCTACAAAATTCTGTCCAAGTAATTCATTGGTTAGGATATTCACCCTTTGAGCATATTGCTACGTGAGATGCTAGTAAGCGTCTTATTAGTTCTCGCAATATATTTACAGGAATTCGCGTGTATTTTCTGCAGAATGTACTGTACTACTAAACATATAATAGTAACTTTTTTCAGGGATACCAAGTACAAGTATTTATCATAGTCGAATTTATTTATTCAATAATAATAATAATTCTCCATTTAGTAATCTTTACAATCTTCTATTGCTTTTTTGTTGAAATAAGGCTCCTGAAGTACTGATGTGTCGTAAATATGATGCAGTGGCAGATATTTGGAGTATGGGCATTATTGTTTACCAGTGTTTAACTGGTAAGGCTCCATTTTATGCCAACACTCCAGAGGCTCTAAAAAACATATATGAAAAAACAGCTTGTCTCAGACCAAAGTAAGTACCATTTAGTGTTTTTCTGTAAATTTATTATATTGTCGTTAAGTTGTTTACTTTATATGATTCTGTGGTCTCTGAGCTAGATGGTTTAATATTAGTGCTTTCATTACCGTTCTAGACAATATCCTTGGTACCTACTTTATGTAGATTATTTCGTGCACATGGTAGAGGAACTTTACAGCGCATATGGATTATTTAGGTGGATGGCTTGGTCATAGAGCTTCCATTGTTCTTCTGAACAACATCATCACCACTAACGTCAGGTAGAAGTGAAGCGTTCGGATTTCTCCACTTACGACTCACAGGTTGTTCTGTCTACTTCTATCTCGGTTGGTTATTGTTGATCCTTAACCTGTCGTTGTCTGCCTCTTTATTTTGATTGTTTCTCCTTTTGATCTGATCATTAGTACTACATTTGTCCATGATTTTTCTGATTCGTTGGTAGATTAGATCGATTTCGATGTGTTTGTTGATTACTGATTGACCTGAATATCAAGCTTCTAAAATTCCCTGGTGCTCTTAGTATTACCTCCATCCAAGATTTCAACTTTTTTTCAGTTGAATGTATGTCCAGATGCATTGATATAAGTGAGGATATGTCATGGTGTTTGACTGCTAATTGGTGTTCGTGCAGGTGAAGATGAAGGGGTCGTCCACTCTATCAGATGTAGTATTTTTCTCTCCACTTCTACATAAAGTTTGTGTTGCTGATGCTGTTCAGACGAACAATGAAAACTCCACGACTAAATCATCCAGCTCAGAGAACAAAACTCCACCTAAATTCAAACACGTACATATACACCTAGTTTCCGCCACAATAAAATTCCGTTGTTGGCACTGAATCTTATACCTATAGCAATTGTGCACTAGTGATATCAGTTATCTTTAAGACAGAAAAGGAATTGGGTCAAGTGTTTCCTAAGTTGAATGTTTTTAACCTTATCCAACTCATACTAGTTTATATGTATATAGAATAGTATCTTAAATGTTTGCGACGTTTTTGTGTCGACAATTCATGTGGTAATACAATTATTGTAAAGCCTATAATCTATCACCCATTAATATTTATATATCCGAATTTGAAGAACATGACATATGGTTGAGAGCTTTGATTTGTTTGTATGCTGAGTGGATTTTTGAAAGTATGTAAATAGTGTTACTTTGTTTCTTGAGATTGAATAGACTGACTGTATATCTCTACAACAGTATAGTTTGTCATCTGTACCGGTGAAATAAATAAAAACTTTAAAACTTGCAGTTTGATGCCTACTGTTATATATATTTTTAATCGTTTTTTTAAGCATGTACGTCAAAAATTGGTACTTAAAAGGAGTTCTTATTTATACTTCACAATTAGTAGTCATTTAATTCACGTGACCGAGCGATAAAAATCAATTACATTACTAATTATTCAAGCTTTAAGAAAAATTGATTAATGCGTAAAATAAAAGGTGGTTTTTTGCAAGTCTCTTTGTGTGTGATAATTATTGTAGAACAAAGTTTATTTACACAATTTACTATTTTGTTGTTATTGAAATAAGTTTATTCATCCTGTAAATAATATGGTATTATGTCTTGTAAGACTCGTGGTATTACTTAACGTGTTTAAAGGCTATCTACCCACCTCATCATACGTTAATTATAGAAAACATGAATAAATGGTGTGTTATATTTAGAATCATCATAAATGTAGGCATGTTAATGTATAAATTATTTCTCTTATCATTAAGAACTTTTAGACAACATTTAATGTCTTTTATCTCTAATATGAATCTGTGACTCAGTAGTTTGAGCAACTGAATTTCAGACTCACACCAAACTGTATTTATAAGTATTTGAGCAACCAGCTAGTTTTGTTGGTTCATCCAGTTAGTCAAAAGCGCCCACTACAGATCTTCCTCCAAATAGAAATATCCTTCCAAAGTGTGGAGAATTGGGGAGTAACAAATTTCCTCGCGACCATCTTCACAATAGAATCCCATCTTAATAATCTAACATTTGTTCTGTTCCCATGATCAGTCATCCTCTAGCTTCGACTACGTTCACGTGTGTTACTAATGTTTACTATGTTATTTGACCAAATTTTATCCCAGTCCTCCCTAAACCTTTCTCCAAACTACATTTTAGATCTTTCATTCCTTCAACATTACTGAAATGTTTAGTCAGTCAGTCATCTACAACGTAGGACCAGGTACATATATGTATCGGTCCAAGTTGCCACACCTCATTAGCATAGCAAGACGAACACCGGGTTCATAGAAGCAGTTAACTCAATGGTGAAAATATATGAAAGAAAGATTTTATGTAAGGATACAGTACTGTAAGAAAGAATTAGTTTGTAGAAAGAACCAACCATTGGTTACGTTAGTCACATGGACCCCAACCAAGTAGTCTGCATCTACTAACATGGCTAAGACCAGAAGTCAGTGACTTCAAGCACTGATGACACGTCTTGGTTTGACCACCCTTCACTTTCTTCCAACCATCTCCAACACTAGTCAGCATTGCACGTCGTGGTAATCGGTGATCAGGCATACATAACACGTGGCCTAACTATCTCAGTCGATGAAGATTTACAATCCATCAACTGACTCACCATCACTCCCTAATACCATGCGTTTAACCCCACTATTACTTAACCGGTGATCTCAGCAGATGCGAGCAATATTTCTCAGACATTTATGTTCGAATGCTGGTAGCTTACGGCTATTTTCTACTCTTCATAGCCACGTTACTCAGCCGTAAAGTAGAACAAAAAGAAATGCTGCACAGTATACTCGTCCCTTAATTGATAGACCGATATTTTGCCTTCGCCATAGGTGACGTCAGTTGGCAAAAGCCAAACGAGGTTTTCGAATCCATGCTGAGATTCGTCAGACACCAACCCATTATGGTTGATCATATTTCCAAGATAGGTGAAGTTGTCAGCGCGTTTGACTACTTCACTCCCTATCCTTCGTCCAGGTGTTGACGCAGGCCAGTCCTGCAGAAACAACTTGCATTCAGAGGTGGAGAAACGCATCCCAAACATCCCGGCATTGTTGCTCAGTGCTACCGAAACACTCTGCATTTTAACGGCATTTTCACCAAACAGGACTGTGTCATCTGCGTATTCTAATTCGATTAGTGAACCTCCTGGTAGGAGATCAATGCCCGAGAATTCAGTCGACGAGAGCGTCATTTCTAGCAGGAGGTCTACGATGAAGTTGAACAAAAATGGAGAAAGTGAATAGCCTTGTCGGACACCACTTGAGGTTGTAAAAGCATATGACAATTCGCCATAAGAGCCTTCACAAGGTTTATGTACTTTTGAGGTGCGCTTTTTAATGACAAACACTGCCACAGAATCTCACGGTTTACAGAGTCAAGTGCTGCTTTTGAGTCAAGAAAGACCACCATTGTCGGGCATCGATAATGCTTAAGATAAGCTTCATTAATTGAGACATTGGAATCTTGTGTTATCAATAGATGCTACATCTCTGAAGCACCCTTACAATGTCTTAATTCATTTGACGTCACCTAGAGGCTTTGGACAGTCAACGTAATTTACTACTAGTATACCTAATACATACCCCAAATGCCCTGGTACGGCCGAGAGTGGGGTGGGCCCTCCCTCCCTCTCGAAATACTCTCACACGGCCACGCGTATATAGCCTCTGCCAGGGAAGTCCTACTCACTGCCTTCTCGTGGCGGGGGTGTTGTTTACGAAATTGAGAGGACGAAAAGCGAATGTCCGGCACCTTAACCGGATTCCAAACCAATGGTGCACATGGGCTCCAGTATCCTGGGGGAACAAATGGCGATTGAACCAATTGTTGGTCACCGGCTTCCATGGGACTGCATCTCCTTACGATGCTCCACTGCCTTGTGGATCAGACCTTCAGGTCGAAGGCTCGGGGTGTGGCCTCCTAAGAAAACCACCTGCTTCGGTTTGGGCATCCGGGCAGTATCACAGCCCTCACACATATCGAATGAGATTCGTGTGGCGCATATGTATTTGGTGCCTCTTTGTACCATTATCTATGTGTTGAAATAAATAAATAAATAAATTTGATCACAGTCATAATCTTTTGCAACTATACTCAGAAGAGCATTTATTTTTATCATGCACCAACTAGGAGTTCAATTTTAGCTGTTAGGTTGACTGAGGTGCTAGCCAGGGTATTCGAACTGGATGTAATCCCAACTAATTGGTCTTGGATCCCGATCGTCTTGGTCTATAAAAAATAGCTAACATTGTTTTATTGATAACCATAGGAGAATCGGTTCGAGTAATATAGTGTCTAAAATATTAGGATCCATAGTCATTCGATCGTTAGATGGAACTCTGGAATATTAAACGAAAATAAACCAAACTGATCTTTTACTTGGCCATGATTATATTAGCGGACGTAGTGTAGCAACTCAATCTGACCCAAGTCTCTATATTGTTTATAACGGCCTCAACGAATAACTGATCTCATTTTTCTGCAATCGTACTCATTGCTCATACAGTTCTCGGTGCAGAGCTTTCAGATTCCAATTCATTTTTATCTGGTTATCCAATCTTTTCGATTTTTGTCAACGGTTTCTTCCAATAAGTATGTTTGTAAATTAAGTTGGCGAAATTTTTACCATTCTTTAAGTCTGTAACGTCGTTTTAGAATTAGTGTTGAGGTGAATAATCAGTTATCTTATGAGAATGAGAAAAACCCCATATTATTTATTTTATTGTAGTCTTTACCTATTATAAATATCACTTTCATTTCATTTAATGCCCTTCAGATGTATTAATCAGTTTGTGACATCATTCCTAATAATAGTCCCTTTCTGTACTGCTGCAAATTGTAAAAACTTGTACTAGTCCAATTACGTGGAAAATTTCTTAATTTTAGGAACCATTCGTCTTGAGACTTCCCATTATTTAATCGATTCATGAAACATCAGCTTAGAAAATTATTAGACAGGTGTTTTTGAAGGCTCTCATGTCTTACAAACACATCAGTCGTAGACCAAAATATTGTCTAGACAGATAATGAGAGCTTCACAATTAAACATTCAGCTCTGAGAATACATTATTTTCAAAAATTTTCAGTTTTAAGGAAAAATGTTGTCCTGATTGAAGGGGTACTCGGTAAGAGTTTTAACGAAATCACTTTTAACTGACTAAAAAGTTGGTAATCTGCAAGACGTGTACTGTACACTACATACAAAATGTTCATCCAATTCAGTTTTCTTATCGTGTGAAATCTATCGCTTTACAAATTTCATTTGATTAAGGCTTTTGTGTTATTTCATAGTGATATTTAGCACGCTGCGATCCACCAAATAGTTTCTTATCTTAGCCCATATATCAGGAAACTTATGACTAGCAGCCCTCAATGTTTACTTTATGCTCCAAGAAAGATTTACCTTCTAGTCGTTGTTTTTGATATACTGCTTTCTCATTGTAATAATAACGGACTGCATTTATATCTTCTTAAGAAATGATTTAATTTGTTGTTATTTCTTTTCGTATGCTTAGTTATTTTAAGTTCTTTCAAAAGTTTGGGAAATATATGTATCTCAGTATATGGGTGTTTTAATTTTAAATAAATTGACCATTAATACTGCGGTTATTAACTGTAGTGAGAAAATCACACATTTATACGGTGGTTGTTACAAATTCTTCCCAGCTTAGATAACGATTATATCAGAATCCTCTTCTGCTTGCTGTATATTTTAAGTATTTATACAGTTTGAAGATTTTACACTTTGAAAGTTAATTAGTGAAGTAGAAGTTTCAGGTTATCAGTTTGATTAAAAATAACTTCATCAGTACAATCTTTACAGAGTTCCTTTTTTCAAAACTTTTCGTTTTACAGAATACCTGTTACAACCAGTAAAGCGTTACAGGATCTTCTGTTAAAAATGCTTATTCGTAAACCATCGGATAGAATTGATTTTCGTAAGTGCAAAGAATTATTTTATTGTTTTTTTTATTATTACTATTATCGTGGCGTGTGTTATTTATATCGACATGAGTAGTATGTAACGATAATCAGAATTAGAATGTCTGGCAGCCTAAAGTCGAGAAGAAAAGAACGGGAACAGAAAGCAGTTAGTATGAAAATGCAGGAACAATGAAGTTTGAGACGATTTACTGATATTTTGCAAATTATGTATTTACTGTATGGTCCTCAGATTTGACTAAGATGTACTGTAATTTTGTGGTCAAGTATATTTGATTGTCCCTCACTTGTGTTCTCTTTCACTGCACTATTATTATTATCGATGAAAAACCAAATGTATTTCTTAAAAGATCATTTATTTGAATGACATTCTTATAGTATAATTACACCATAAAATCAGTTTCACACTCATTCACTTCTATTTTCCTTTATTGTATTTCGTTTAATACCCTTTCAAATGATCCATATTATTATGGTGATCAAATTAATTTTGTTTAGAATTTATTTTTAGCTAATTTATATATTTACTTTTATTCTATTACATTCTTGTTGTCTAATGTGACATTTTACAGAAAATTTCCTGAATCATCGATTTCTGCATCAACGACATTTTGAACCTCGAGGTATGTGTATATATCATGTATATATGCTTGTTTATATTTACGTGTACATGTGTGTGTGTGTGTGCGTTAGTCAATATTACCAATGGATATTTTGCATGTTTTTGAAGAAAACAAAACACAACTATGTAATGGATTTTCATTCCTAGGATTAACATACATCGATATCTCTTTTATATATGCATTGATATAACTACTAGCTAAAAATAAATTAGTTTGAAAAGAGAAAAAGTTAGCACGATCAGATACTTTGACTATTACATTTGTACTTCATACATTGAAGAGTAAATTAAATATAGAAATTATATATATATATATATATATATATATATATATATATATATATATATATATTGGTTTATTTACTTAATTGGTTTCTTTCGGTAACTGTCCAGTAGTAGTAGTTGAAATAGTAGTATTGAATATCTTTGGAAATTCTGAACTCTTGTATTTAAATTCATTGGTTCTTTGTAGAAAATCTTACTTCTCTCATCAAAGAATAATTTGAAGTTGTCAGTCCTACTTCAGACAATTATGAATTTCAAGTTATTTTATTCTGTTTGTATTCTAGTTTTGTTGTAGAATTTGATTTAGCATGAACTCAATTCATTACTCGTAATGCAACTAGAAAATCTGTTAATTTCTTTCAATATTTGTTATATAGTCGAATATCTATAGATTTTTATAAACGTAGGCCTATATCAATCAAGCTAATCTTGTATAGCTTCCTTCTTATTATTACTGAGGTTATCAGTGATCAAGTTCAATCTAATGGGATTATTTTATTATTATTATTATTACTATCGTTAATATTATGCTGAATAACCTTTGTGTTTCTAGGCCAATGGATAAAAATCAGCAACACAATTCGACCTAAGGCCTCCCCGCCGCGCTGCTAGGCAGTAGCGGCAACCTTGCTAGCTAACTTGGTTGGTTGGAGATGGGACTAATTCACCACTCTGCTGTAAACTGAATTAATTTAGTTCCTTTGTTCGGAGCTCTAAACGTCTTACGGGATTTTCGATGTGTTTGTTTACGTGTATGATTCGGCCTGTGTGGTTTGTGTATATAGGTATATGCAATGGGTACGTGCGTGGGTGAGCACAAGGAACCTAAGCTGAAAAGTGTCTGCCCTATGTCTAGTAAAGTCAGTGGCCTAATCTTTTGAGTCGAATGTATAATAAAAAATGTGGTAGCAAATACTAGGGAGAAGTGACCATCACCCTTCTCAGAAAGTGTTTATGTTTAAGTGTATGTCATCAAGTTCAAGGGCCTTTGTACCAGTGAAATGCATGTAATGCGTAAGTGACAGTCAGCTGTAGCAAATTCGTTCAAAAGGCACGGTGACCATTTACCCTCCCGGGTGTGTGAAAATACCATTATGTATGCTATGAAATGCATGCGTAAAAACTTGTGTTACCAGTGTGCGCGTAGACCATTACTGGCCCGTGATGCGACGCCCATGCGCCAAGACCTGGAGGTAACAATCTTCCCACAAAATCGTATACACTCGGTGGGTTTATGAGACTTCAAAAACGGAAACCCTTCCCAGAAAAGCTAATCGGCTTCACTTTCACACGGCTGGAACACCGTATTGTGCAGAATATCTATCTTCATTTTCACAGTAAACACATTTGCTTTAGGGGAAAAGAGTAATGACTGTATATGTCATTTTGTTTATTTGTTAGAAAATAAATGTCATGCAAATTGTATATTATTTTTCTTTCTTGAATCAAACTTAGTATTTAGTGTGTACAGTTTCTCTTAATAGAATGGATAGACTGGCTAAAGTGATTTTTTCTCGTACTTATTGTTTAAGCTATCGAATCCTTATCTAATGCCTATGACATTTAATTTAAAAACGAATGATGTATTGATGTTTATTCCAGTCTTCCATCATTTTATTGTTTATATTTTGTTAGTTAATAAAATTGTTGTATAACGATAGTTTAGCTATGTAAATCCACTGATCACTGAATATTTTAAAATTCAATTCACTTATTATTTCATTTTGTGCTATCAACCAATAGCTGAAGATTATAAGCTTAGCACTCTATGGCTACTGATAATTATGTTTATTATGTTTGTGTTAATCAACGAGTGAAGACCTTAGATGATATGGCTCATAATCAGTTGGAATAGTGTAACTAGTGTGTTCAGTTACTGATTTCACCTGTTCTGTTAAAAGTTTATTCTTCATAAGCGAAGATGGATGGTGGCTAGCAGTGAAATTAAGGATACATGTTTCGTGCTGTTTGGGACTCATCAGTTGGGTATACTTGTATCCCGGAGTTGATGTTCACTCCAGAACTCGAACCCAATACCGTACGCTTCAGGCGTCATCACTTTATCCACTTAGCTAGGGAGTTCAGCTAGTCACTAGCTTGTGAAATGGAGTGAAGCTTTAATTCATTTTGTATTGTTTAATTGGATCCACTGCTAGCCACCATTCATCTTTGCTCATAATGGTTGTGACAAGGCATTATCGAGACAATCCGTACATGATGCTCATATGCCAATAAGAAACTAATCAATTGCAGTCCTAAACATCAGTGGGAGGATTCAGCCAAACAATACAAAATGAATTTACTCTTCACGTTTAGTTTTCATACCTGTTACCATTAATTATATGCAGTTAATTATTTTGATCCTATTAATTTCTTATTGCTGTACAAATGTTAAGTGTTGGGATTTAGTATGAACAGCATTTGTCCTGGATTTTTTTAATTATGCGAACTCATTAATTCTTGAGTCATATTGTCTATGCTGAACGCTTTTTTTTACTGCCACTGACGTTTCCACTACTGTTAATTTGATATTAATCTTGATAAATCCCTCTCACAGTGTTAATGTAGTGTAGCAACTTTGATTGATGTGTATGTTTGACAGATTCTACGTTGATTATGAGTGCCTGACTAACTATCTCAAATCATACAGTTTCTGTAACTGATTAACTGTTTTATCTATACAAAATCACATGAACTAGTCCAATAATATTTGGTGAATGGAGCAGTTTGTCAACTAGCCTCATCAATGATAAGTAATTCTTAAAAATTCAGTTTTATAGTGAACATTCTAAATCTGACATTGTGCTGGATAAATTTTTAAAATACAGTTCTAATTCTCATTTTATAACTAAGCAGTGTACCGTAAACAGGTTAATACTTCTGATAATGTAGATAAATATTATTTGCTTTTTTTTCAAGTGTAATGCACTAGCGTAATGCATTCATGTTAGAATTTAATCACTTGTTCACTTCTCAGTAATATTCAATGAATAATATAGTTAACTAAATCTATGAAGATTTTACATAAGAACTGAGTTAGAAAATTCTGTTTATTGTAATATTTGTTGCGTAAAACAGGTCAACTTGATTACCATTATTTGAAGAGTCAATATTTTATTTGTTATTTATCTATTTGCAATTTTAATAACATACAGCGGATCACTGAATAATTAACATATGTGTTTTGTTGTATAAAAAAAGTCTTGTAAATTATCAAGTTTGCTACCCTAAATGTATCTTAATTTCCTAAACTTAAAGTTATTTTCAATGTATTTCTGATTATCCTGTCACGTATTTTTAGTTTGTGAATCAATATGATTTTATCAACCTAATAACCTTTGGGTTTAATAGGTATCAATACCAAGATTTGACTTGATAATTTCGAATAAATTAAGCATTGAGTTGATTCTTATAAATAAATTCATATATTTGTAATATCCCAATTAGTAGAAAAATTAACTTTTCTGACGTTTCGTGACTCAATGTAAGTCACTTCTTCAGAGGATAAATAACCAAATCAAAATTTGTCATTGGGTGTAATGTTAGTGTATTGATCTAATATAAGGTAATTTGAGCAAATATTCATTTTGTCACAATCTACATTATCATTGTTGTTTGACTGTGGTTGACTGACTGGAATTTTCTAAGGGATTTTTGCTTGACTAAAGCTCTGTCATTTCAAAATGTATGTTCTTAAAAGTTCCTATGAGTTTTCTTCAAGTTTATTTTCCAATAAATCTTTTTTTATTATATGTTTTACTGAAAACAATGTTCCCTTGTAATTATTAGAATCCAGTTTTGTTTGAAATTCAGCTTCATTTCTCATACATTCCTTAATCCAGTTATATATGTTATCCAGAACATGTAAAATAATAAAACCAGTATAACATAGCGTATTCGATCACATTATTTTAAGTCCACGTTTTGTGTCACCAAGAGTAATATCTTGATATAACTTCAAAGTCACACTATGTGTAACTGTTTTCTAAAGAGTAGTAGTATGTTAGTGATTTTTTAAGAATATAAATGTGATTTGTAAAAACAAATAATCGCTTAATAAATTCAAATACAATCTACGTAGGTCAGTTAAATGAGTGCAATAACCTATCATCTTTTTACCAACTATGAATGTATATTGAAATCGAAGCACACCAACATAGTATCTGTCATTCAGCGCTTTTAATAGGATTGAATAATTTAAGTATTGTAAATCAAATAAACGAACGATTGATAATGTAATCAATCCATAAGTACTCATCATTTTTGATAGTTAACGAAAATCAACCAAATGGACATAGTGTTCATAGATGTGTTTTATTACTTAAATTGATTGCATTATGGAGCTGTCTTCGTTGTCAGTTCTGTATTGTGATTTCGTTGTTAGAATTATTTCACTAAGTCACATATCATTTACTGCCACGATACCACGTAATGGCATACTTTATTAACTTTGATAAGCTCCTTGTAAAATAAAATGTGAAATTTTTTTCATTACTGTTTATTATTTTAAAACTTCTCATATTGTGAATCAGAACAACATATATAAGCGAACAATATTGTTTTCAGTAAGATCGTCATCAGACTTTAACATACAGTAATATTTATATACATATATGAAATTATTAAATCAATCAAGGTAGTTTATGGGTCAGTGATAACAGTGGAATAGATTACATAAATAAACATAATAAGTAAAGAGTACAAATTGTTGTTGTA